GACACACACACACACACACACACACACACACACCGCCACCCCCTGATCAGGGACACACATACACACACACACACCACCACCACCCCACCACCACCCCCCGATCACACAGCACCTGGACATTGGGAGAACGGGAAGCAGAATACTCAGCATCATGTGTCTTGTGTCTTCTGGACACATGCAAAGGGATTTGCATGCATTGTCTCATTCAATCTTTAAAAGAATCCTATGAGACTTCATAGATGAAGAAAATGAGCTTCCAAGAGCTTAAGGAACGTAGCCCTCAGGACACCCAATAGGCAAAAGCCATAATACCAAGCACAATGCCTGGCACAAACTCCAGAAGCCAGTCCTGCAGAGGCAGCCTAGCAGAAGTGAGTGTGCTGTTTCTGCCCACCACCTGGCACTGGCCCCTTTGGGGGATTTACTCCCTCACTCCCACTTTCTCCATGTGGTTGTAGGGGTGTCAGTCCTGTACTAGGGTAAGCTCCTCACTAAGATCTGTCCAATCAGCATCCAGGATAAGCTGGGACTCAGTGAGAGGCAAGCCTAGGCTATTGCTGGAGCCCGGGGGGTGGGCAAGAGGCAAGCTGGGAGTTGGCAGCCTCAGGAAGTGCTGGCCAGAGAGTAGGGTGACACAGAGGACACTGAGCCCAGATATGCAAGCCTGTGAGCTGAGCCACTGCTGAGCACTGGACCAGCTGAGCCCTTGGCCTTTATAGTTATGTGAGCTGTCAAGTAACTGGTCTTTGAACCCAGGTTTGTTTCCCTGCCCCAGGCTGCCCCATGGAGGCTCTGCTGGCTTAGGGGTGGGACACAGCTGGGACTGGGGGCCTCACCTTTCTCTCTGAATCATGCGGACAGAGTGGGACCCTTCCAAACTCTGCCTAAAGCATCTCCATCATTGAGTCTGACCTTCAAAGCTGGCATCTGCTTGCAGGAGTCTGTCTCTCTCCTCCTGGAATTCAGGCTCCAGATGTCAGGTCCCAGGCGGCAGTGGTGGCTGCACACGGCTCCCCAGTGAATCAGCCACATTCCAGAGGTGAAAACACAGACGCCCTGCCCTCAGCAGCCTGGGGCTGCAGACTTCCTCCCCAGCCCGCCCAACCCGCTCTGCTCCTGCTCCTCTCCCCTCTTGCCTCTTCCCCGCCAAACCAGGCTTTGGGCTTCCTTTCCAGAAACATTCCCCTGGAACTGGAACAGAGAGAAAAAGCAGGCCACTTGGAACAGGAGACACCCTGATCTGCTGTGGGCGCTGTCCCCTCAGCAGGCACTGACCCCAGCCAAGATCTCCCCCAGCAGTTATCAGTATATATGGGTTCATTCATTCAACAGGTATTAATTGAGCACCTACTACAGGACGAACAAGACATAAACAAGCCCTTGACCTCATGAAACTTAGCCCAACTGGAGACAGACAAAGTCAGGTCCACAGACCTAAAACAATTCCAAGTATGGGGAGAGCTATTAAGGAAAGAAGGGGCTGAGTCAGATGACAAGTGACAAAGGTACAGTTCCGGGATGGGGGACTCTCCAGGATAACACATAAGCTGAGGCCTGAGGATGAATCGGAATCTCCTCTATGGAGTCACTTCTTGGCGATCACCTCACGACATGCTGCAGTGTGACCTCAAAGAACTCTCCCCAGTCACCCAGCAGGATCTTGAGTCCCCTTCCTTGCGCCCTCTAACAGCATTCATGCAGGGAAGTCTGCCTACTATTTTTTTAATAAGAGCTTTATTGAGATATAATCCACATAACATGCAATTCACCATCTTAAAAGTATACGATCCAATGGTTTTCAGTATAGTCACAATGTTGTGCTACCATCACGATCAATTTTAGAACATTTACATCACCACCAACAGCTACTCTCCAGTCCCCACATCCAAGCCCCTGCAACTACTCTACTCTTTGTCTACGTATTTCCGGTTCTGGACATTTCTTAGCAATGGATTCATATGCTGTGTCCTTCCGTATCTGGCTTTGTTCACTGAAGCTCGTTTTCAGGGTCCATCCACATTGCAGCGCGCCTCAGCACTTCATCCCTTTTTACAGCTGAATCGTATTCCATTGTATGATGGACCGCACTGTGCTTACCCATCCATCAGCTGGTGTACACTTGGGGGGTTTCCACTTTTTGGCACCTATGAATAATGTTGCTGTGAACATCCACGTACAAGTTTTTGCATGGGCATTTGCTCTCATTTTTCTTGGGCAGATCCCTGGGAGTGGAATTGCTGGGTCAAACAAATGGTCACTGCTGAGGAACTGCCAGATTTCAAAGCAGCTGCCCCACCTGACATTGCTGCCAGCAGCATCCAAGTGTTCCAGCACCTCCCTATGCTCCCCAATCCTTACTACACTACTGTCCCTTTTTTCCATCCTGGTGGGTGTAAAGTGGTGCCTCACCGTGGTTTTGATTTGCAGTTTCCTAATAATGCATGACCTCAGCCTGGCCTGTAGATTGTTCCTTCCATGTCCTTCCAACTGCACCCCCATTCCTTCCATGTCCTTAGGGCCCCCATCCGCTAAGGATTCCAAAGCCTTCAAACCCTGCATCAGGTCCTCCTGTGATCCACTTCCTCCTTCACAAGGGTCAAACCCACATCCAGTCCATTCAGCCAATGCCAGCCTCCTGAGGCCTTCAGGTACAAGGGGCAGCGGGGAGGCAAGATGGGCGTCCTGGCCCACGCCCCTAGGGCAGACTGAGGAAGAGGGGCTTCAGGTGAGTTACTACAGGAGTTCCTATGCTATCTTCCTATCTGTGCCCCCACTCAAGGGTAAGCTCCACGGGGGCAGAGCTTCATCTGTACGTTCGCTGCTATATCCCTAGGCTGTAGGCACACTACACGTATTTGTTGAATGAATGGATGAGCAGAAGATGAAGAAAGAGAACCCAAAGTCAGGGTTAGTGATCAGAAGCTCAGGTTCTGGAGTAAAACAGTCTGCGCTAGAATCCTACCTCTGCTACTTTATAGCTGTGTGCCCTTGGGTGAATCCCTCGGCTTTTCTAAGTCTCCCTCTCATCATCTACAAAACGGACCTGACAGTGACAATCTACCTGACAGGGTGGTTTTGAGGGTTAAATGCGATCATACGATCAGGAAATATATTATGTGTTAAGAACTCTTAGAGATGAGGTCACATAATGTCAATCCTGAGAAGAGCCTTGAGATGTTCTGTTATTACCAGCTTTGACCTCATAGATGAGGAAACAGGAGTTCCAAGCACTCAAGGAATCTGTTGGGTCATAAGGCTGGTCAGGGCAAAGCCAGAATCGAGTCTGAGCCGAGACCCCAACTCTGTGCAGGGGCAGTGACCCAACACTATCAGGCCCTAACACAGATGGAGGAAACAGCTGTCTCTGAGCAGGTGGCCTGCAGACTGGTGCAGAGTGGGGTCTGCCTGTTCAGCTGATGTCCCCAGGTTCTGTGTCTGGCTTTCAGCAAAGTGGGCAGGCCGAAGGCTGGGGAGTCCGCCCTCTTAGGGGACTAACAACGAGAGAGGCTGGCAAAACAGAAGCGAGTGCAAAGACCCTGAGGAAGTAAGTCTGGGGCTCTAGAACAGACACCTGTGGGGAGGGTTCAGGAGTCGGGAAGATGAGAAGGTACTAACGCTTGTATCAGGGAAAGCAAAAAGAAGCCAGAAGTTTCCAGCAGGGGAGTCTGGCCACTGAGTTGGGCATCCTTAAAGATGGCAGGCGCTTTCCTCTGGCAAGGTGTGCAGCTTTGGGGAAGAACCACACACAATGCACACTGGCTGAACCACTCTAGGGTGACAATGTGGCTACATTCCCCTCAAATCAAGGAGCCTACTTGGAAGAGCTCCAGTGGGCTATCCTAGGGGAGACATCAAGCTAGCCCCTAAAGCGTAGGGTCTGGTGTACCCCAGAGGCTGGGTATAAATATTGGGGTCTTTTAATAGATGTGTTGCCCTTGCTTTGCCTCTTCAACTGAGGAAACACATCGAGCAAAGGAGGTCCAAGGATGGACCCCAAGAGGGAAGCCCCCCCCCACAGGTGGGAAGGCGGCACAGGCCCTAAGGGCTTCAGGAAGTGAGCAGAGCCTCAGCCCATTGGAGGAGCAGCTGAGAGGAGGTCTGTGCCAAGGGCTGGGGGAGGAGACTGGCTGAGGACAGAGCAAGGAGCTCAGAGATGCCCGGTGATCTAGGGCAGCCCTGGGAGACCCGGCGGGGAGGGCTGGGGACAGGGCTCTCATTTGAGACTCCGTCACTTAAAGGGAGAAGCTCAGCTGCCAACAGTGTCCAATAGAGACTGGAATGTGTTTAGAGTCAGTCATGGAAAACATACCAGGCTCTGATTTGCTAGAAGGCTCTGGAAGGGGTTTCTGTGGCTGCCTGGCTTGGGAGGTCAGGACAGCAGTTTTCCAGGGTTAGTCAGAGGACCACATGCATCACAGTCACTTGAGAGCTTGTTAAAAATGCAGATCCCTGGGCCCTGCCCCAGACTTACTGGTTCACCATGTGGGGTCTGAGAACCCAATGGGGCTCTAAGACACAGAGTCACCAGGGAGGTAAGGAGCCCCAGGGAAGGATCAGCTCAACTCAAAACAATGTACGTAGCAACTGGTGGCCACAAGCTCTGGCCCACAGGGTTACATGAGGGGACCAGCTCTGCCTCCTTCTAGCATATTCTATCCACAAGTCTCATGACTTACACACATCTCAGACCTCCCTCCCTCCACCCGAGCGCCCCCACACTCACAGCCCACTTGGCCAGTGGCCACAGCTCCAGCTGCCCCCTTAGGTCAAGGCCAGAGCATGCAGATGGGTCCCATGGTCCAAGTGAAGTCGCTCACCCGACTGGCCCGGCTCCAAGATCAAAGACCCAGCCTTCAGGAGCAGAAGTGCCTGGCTAGGTGACCCTGAGGTGCCTCTGGCCTCAAGTACAGCGGTCCCACCCTGAGAGGAACTGATTAAGCCTAGACATGAAGGCCTGGGAAGAAGACCAGACTGTGCCTTCGAGAAGAAAGAAAAGCAGAAAGTAGCTCCATCCCCTTTGGTCATCTTCCCCTTTGCCAGCTCTGCTCTCCCAAAGAGGATGTTGATGTTCATGTATTGGGAGTGGGGGTCTCCAAGCCAAACACAAAGTATATCCCCTCTGCTGGGGTGAATCAACTCCCTGAGGGGTGGGGCTTGGAACCAGAGTCACACTGTTAGGTCTTGGATCCCATCTCTGCCACCTCACAGCAGTGTACTCCAGCAAACCACTTAACCTCTCTGAGCCTCTTTCTCATCTGCTAAATGGGCCTGACAGTAAGTTGCCCTGTGGTCCTGCACCACCAGGACCTCTGATTGCCTGGTGAACTGAGGCTGGAACACACAGGGCTGGGTCCCCCTCCTGTCTTGGGGCCACATTTCACATCACAGCCCAAAGGCCAAGACTGGAAGCTGCACCAGGCTGGAGAAGGGGCAGACTGCATTAGACTCAACATCCCTGGCCCCATTATAAACCCACAGGCCTTCGAGGGATCACAAGAGCACGAAAGCATTTGTCCCTTCCCACAGCAGAGAAGCGGTCAGCAGAGCCCAGACTGGCAACGACGAGGCCCTTTCCAGCTGGTCTGGACAGCAGAGAAGTTGCTTACTGGCGCAGACTTAGTAGGTTTCATGCCTATGTTTTAATCTCTACAGGCCCACAGGAATGTTTGGGTGATTCTGCGTGTTCTGCAGTTGCCGGCGGGGATGCACAGCCTGCGGGGCTGACCCCGCCTGTTACTGCTCCCGAGCACTCAGCCAGCCATAGCAGCTCCCCTACCCACTCACTCCCAGAAGCAGCTCCTTCCAGGCTGCAGACCTTCGGGGGCCTCCCTTCCCAAAGCCACTTGTAATCTGCTCCAGGGCCTGAAGGGGTGACAAGTGCTTCCCAGACAACAAAAGCCAACCTCGAAGGCACCTGCTACACCCATTCTGTGCCCTGGTTTCAGGGCCCCAGTTGGGTATGCCTTACAGCAGGCCAGCTGCGGTCGGCTAGTCAGCAAAAAAGGCCCCGCCTGCCCACCTTTCCCTGCAGGTCAGCCACCACCCTCTCCCTCTAGCACTTCGGGAGGAAGCTGAGGTGAAGCACAGAAAACCTGTCTTGGTCAAGGTCACCCCTCCTCCTGAGTGTGTTTCAGCCAGTGACGTCAGTCTCCTTGGGCTCCAACGCTGTGCGACCTTGGGCAAGTTATTTAACCTCCCTGAGCCTGATTTCCTGACAGATAACGGTAGTGGATGTCCAGGCTGTCCTGGGGATTAGAAGAAATAATGTGCATAAAGCTCCTAGCACTTAGCCGGCACCTTCAACGCGTGAGCCATTATTCCCATTATTCCATCCTTTCCACGCTCCCCCTCGCTTCCTCCAGGTCTCAATTCAAAAGTCACCTTGTCAGGGGCGCTCCCTAGCCGCCCGGCTGATGCCCTCCCTGCTTTGGCCTCGCCTTGACACTCGTCTGATGTGCTGGACGTTCTGACTCACCCGGGCCTCCCGCCCTGGACCGAGGGCCCTGTGCGGGCAGGGCCGTGCCGCACTCCCCGCCCTGCGTGCCGCGCGGGCGAACGAAGCGTTCCTACCGCGTCCCCGGCCGCCGGCGCGCCAGGGAGCCTGGCTCAAGGGCCGCACCCCGCCGGGGCCGAAGCGAGAGCACGAGCGCGCACGGGGGCCGCAGCCGGGCCGGGGACAACTGGCGGCCATACCTGAGCAGGGGGCACGGGCGAGCGCGAGCGAGCGCGGGCGGGCACCTCCCTCAGGGTGGCTCCGGCGCGCGCCCGCGAGGTCACGTCCGGGGCGCGCCGGCCGGAAGGAGGCCCCGCGCGGGGCGTGGGGGAGGGGGAACTGAGCGACCGCGACAGGCCACGCCCCCTGCCCGTGGACGGGGGCGGGGCCAGCCGAGCTGCGACCGCCTCGCACTTCCGCTCGCCCCGACAGGCTCATTCATATTCATGAGGCGGGAGACGGGAGGGGGCCCGGGTCCGAGCGGCGCCACGCCCCCCCGGCGGTGGATCCCGCCCCACGGAGGCTCCGTCCCCAGTGGGGCGCCCCCGGCTTCCGCCTCGGGGAGGGAGTTTCCACTTGGTCACGACTCAAAAATGTGTCGCTGCGGCTCCTCCACCCCCTCATCCCTGCCCTGGGGGGTTCTCCTCTCTCTGAAGATAGGGGGGCGGAGCGAGGGAAGGGGCTGCTCCTCCTTCTTTAGGCAGGTCCATAAGGATGGGGCTGACCCCTCTCTCCCAGTTAGGCCTGTAACGATCTTCATTTTAAAAACATAATAATTGTTCTAATTTATCGAGCGCTTATTCTGTGCGACGCCCTGTGCTCTTTATATGAACTACCTTTTTTAATTCTCACAACAGTCCAGCTGCGATAAGCACATTGTATGTATTATCATACCCAGAAGCTCAGAAAAGTTGAGTGACTTACCTACCATCCCACAGCTGTCCTTGGGCTTTTTCGTAAAAGGTTGGTCTCTGAGTTCAGGGGAAAGTGCTTGCCCATGCTATACACACCTTTCAGGAAATGGGCACTCCTGGCTGGCTGGGAGGGATGGATCTGACTGCCCCTTTTGAGGGAGAAGCTATATGCTGGGGAAACCAAAGCATGAAAACTGGACAGGATGCACAATTTGCCATAGCCAGTGCGCAGTGAAAATGAAGAGCCCTGTGCTCAAAAATTGATTAAGAATTTAAAGGTGGTGATCGCAAAATATTCAGAACAGAGCCCTAAGTGCCAGGCTTGCACAGCTACACAGTTGAACAATCGTGAAGCTATCCCTGATGAAAGAGCTCAGGGGCTGGCTCTTCTAGGGGCTGAGAAACCAGCATGGACAAACCCACCTCTGATGTCACCTACCCCCCATGCCCCAGCCCAGGAGCCTTACTTCCATGCTGACATCCAGGGCTCAGCCTCCAGAATTCCAAAAGCTGAGCACTTTGGGCCCCCTGTGACTGATTTCTGGGGAGCGGGTGAGTCCTCAGGGGAGGAGAGTGTGTCCCAAACCTGAATGACCCACCTGGCCCTTGGAGCTATGCCAGTTCTGACTTGAAGCCCTCGTTTCTTGAGGGAGCAGGTTGTGAGGAACAGCCGGGGCTGCTCCCCAGAATAAACACCCTACCCACAATCAGCCCCTGCCCTGCAGTCACCACAAGCCTGCACCAATGGGGGAGAGGCTCACCAGGCAGCCAACTCAAGGTTAGTAAGTCACCCCGATCTCACTCCCTCCATCACTCCATCCTTGTGCCTGGGCCCCTAGTCACAGTGGGCTGCAGGCTTCATTAACACCAACAAAAGCTACCATCTGTTGTGTTGTTTCTCCCAGCCAGGTGTTGGTAGAAGCCTTTTGTATGCCCTCACCATGGAGCCTCACACAGCCCTGTAATAGGCATGAGGATTACCATTTTACAGGCAGGGAAACTAAGATTCAGAGAGATCCAACGGCTTGGCTAAGGTCAAGGGCCAGAGTTTGGAGTTCACTCCCATTCATCCATCCTGGTTCCTAGCATCTCTCCTATGTTTGTAACATAGGTGTTAAAGCTCATTTCTATATATTGTCTTGTACTGTTCACTCTTAGCTCCTCAAATAGGTTAAAGGCTCTGGAAAAAAACAGGAATCAAAGTTATACCACTGAGTTTCTGCAGGCCCTAGCATTGTACTTTAATTGAAAGGCCATTTACCAAGCTTACCCTCCTTGCAGTGCAGTGTGCGAATGAGTGAGCCATGTCTCTCTGGGTACAGACAGGTAAGGAGTCCCTACCAGACTGAGAGATATCCTTGAAGACATGAATGAGGTTAGTTCTCCCAAATCACAGAGTAGGCTCTCAACAAATGTTGTTGAATGAACACATAATAAGAGCTTACTAAGCATCTGTTGAGTTAATGGGAACCTAGGACATGTTCAATAAATGTTTATTGGTGAAGGATTAGGGGACCAGATTCAGTCCCCCAGATATATACATGGGCAATTATCTTAGTCTGCTCAGGCTGCTGTAACAAAACACCATAGGCTGGGGTCCAAGATGAAAGTGCCAGTAGATTCGGCTCCTGGTAAGGACTCTTTTCTTTACTTGCAGACAGCCTCCTTCTTGTTGGGTCCTCACATGGCGGCAGAGAGAAAGTGTGTGCTGTGATCTTTCTTCCTCTTTTTATAAGGGCAGTGGTCCCTTCATGAGGACTCCACCTTCAGGACTTTATTTAAAACTAATTACCTCCAAAAGGTCTTTTGGACAAATACCATCACGTTGGGGCTTCAACATACGAACATGGCGGGGCAGGACACGAACAGCAATATTTGTGAAGTACTTACTATATGCCAGGCCCCAGGCAGGAACCGCAGAACAGTGACAAAGCAGACGATGCCCTTGTGTTCTATTCCTCTGGGGACTTACAGTCTAATAGGGGAGACAGTCCGTAACACACGGGAGGGGAGCAGGTAGCAAAGGATGGGTCCTCAGATTGAGGACTCTTAGAGGGATGAAACCCAGCGTAATGCTGGGGGAGGAGGATATCCCTCCTCACCCACCTTTTTCTAAGGAGGAAGCCAAGTCAGACTCGACTACTGTAGCAGGTTACTGCCTCCTGGGAAAACACAACCCTATAAAGTCCTCTGAGATCCTGGCCCTCTCCGATGCCCTGCATCCCCCAACCAGTCATCTGATGCTCCAGGGAGGTAGCAGGTTCTCACACAAGTTTTGGACTCAGACCAATGGAGAATGCCTTCTGGACTATGCCTCCTACTAGCCTCTAAGATGTTGGCCGTGTTACTTGACCTCTCTGTGCCTCCTCTATAAATGGGATTAATAATAGGACCCAACTCAGGGTTGTTGTGAGTATAGAGAAAGGAAAGTGTCTAGTGTAGAGAAAGAACTGGTCTGGTTGAAAATTGGGGGTTTCTGGTTGAGTCGGCTCCACCAAGATGATAGAATATACCTCTCTTAATTTTCACCTCAATATCAGAAAGGAGGTTTTATTCATCACCCCAACGTGGGAATCCCAAGTAAGAGCTCCCATCAGAAGCAAGCTACTTGTTCATGAAAACAAGTGTGTGCAGAAAAACAGACTACGAGCACGGTCCTCCAGGGTGAAGATTCTTGTGGTCTAGCCCTCTTGGATTTCCCTGGCCACTGGATTCGGGTTCTGCTGGATTCTAAGACCGGTGAGGGCAAGAACAGCTGGGGTGATTCACCCTTTGTCCCCACTGTGGCAAAATGCCTGGCATGCCGCAAGCCCTCGATAAGTAATTTTAACAGACACAGAATAGTCCCGGGAGCACCTATTCTTCGATACACCAGGACTCCCTCCGGTCGGAGCTGGGCGTGGTCCAGACCCGACGTAGTGACGCGGCTCGCGACTGGGCCGAGGGGCGGACTGAGCCGCCACGATCCCCGACGCCGGCAGGGGGCGCTTGGCGGCCCTGAGCCTCCGCCCTTCCTCACGCACTGGCTGGTCAGCAGACCGGAGAGTCAGTCCTTAACAGCCCGCTCCTGAAGGGCGGTATGTCCCGAAGCCGGTCTTCCTCTGGGCTCCTGCACCGGCTAATGTTTAACTCGCCTCACTACACATTATCCACCCGAAGGAAACCGGGGTGGGGTGGGGGCGGAGAAAGTTACCTCCAAATTGCCTCCTTCCGGGCCTACTGGCTTTTCATGTATCACCAACAGTTCACGAGCACCTACTCTGTGTCTCTTTACTCAACAGTCGTGAGCACCTACTATGTATCTATTTGTCCAAAATACAAGAGCATCTGCTATGTAATGGTTCAGGAGCACCTACTATGTGTCCATTCATGCACGTCACGAGCACCTACTATATGTAAGTCCACTAAGATGTAATGAGCACCTAGACTGAGTCCGTCTTGGCAACAAGTCCCAAGGGCCTATTATGTGCCAAGCGCTGTGCTAGGCGCTGGGGATGCTGCCTCAATCTTCGGCGGGGGACCGTGGCATCAACTACAGGAATGAAGGCAGAATTACACCTGGAGTCAGATGCCTCACCTATCAGGATGCTGTTCGTCGCCTGGGCTCTTCAAGGTCAACTGTGAGCAGCAGGGCTGGCCAACAGCAGGAGGGCTGTTTTTGGACCAAAATTGCCATCAGACAGCAGAACAGTAAGATAACTGGGCGGGGGCTCCGGATTGGCCCAAACAAAACACAGTCTAAAACGCAAGTCTGGGGTTCAACATCAGCAAGCAGAAAACAGCTTAGCCCGGCGCGGCTGCGGGGCTTCCCCACTCGCAGGTATCCAGGCGTGCCACCTCCAAACGCGGGCGCCGCGTGGGCGCTGAGGGTCCAGGCGCGGTCAGGGAGCCCAGGCTGGGGACGCAGGTTGTCCGAACTGCCGGGACTCAGACTGCTCTGGGCTAAACTTCCTCCTTATTCCACTAGGAGGGAAACTGAGGCGGAGGGCAAGGCGGGGACCAGCCCGGCAGCGGGAAGGGGCTGAGCCCAGCCTCGAACCCCGGCTCGCGCCGCCCCGAATCCTAAGCTGGGGCCGCTGCCCGCGCGTTCGTGGAACTAGCAGGGCGGAGAAATCGGGGTCTACGGAGAGGCATTCCTACCCCCCTCCCAGCCGCCCCGGGACGCGGTGGGCCTGGCCAAGGTGACCCCGCTGGAGCGAGCCGAGGGGCTCCCGCCCCCTCGGCCGCAGAGACCTTCTCCATCTTCCCTGTCTTCGAGGCTTTTCCTCCGGGACCGCCCGCCCCCACCCCGGGCTTCCCCGAGGGCGGGACATCCCTCCCCGCAGCCACCCCCAGGCCACCTCCGGGCCGTGTCCGAGCGCTGCCCTCGGGCCGGGGGCGGGGCCGCGGGGGGGCACCCGAGGATGGGGCCACCCAAGGATGCGGCCGCGGAGGACGCGCACGGCCCTGCGCCCCCTCCCTCACGGTGCCCGCGCCCCGCGGCCGCGCAGCCTCCCTTTCTCCCCTCCCCGGCCCCGCGCCCGCTCCCGACCGCCCCCTCCCCCTGACGCGCACGCCCCGCCTGGCAGCTGGCGCGCGGGGCCTGGGGCCGCGGCGGCGAGAGGGGTTTGCTGGGAGGGCGGGAGGGAGGAGGGAGGAGACAGGGCGGCCGCCCCCCGCGCCCCTCCTCCTCCCCCGCCGGCCCCTCCTCCTGCAGCCTCCCTCCTCCCTCCGCCTCCCTCCCTAAAACATCCCCGCACCGCCCGGCGGCCGCGGCCACCTTCCCTGCCGGAGCTGCAGATGTGGCGGAGCGGCCGGGCGCTGGGCGGCCGTGCCAGGGGAGCCCGCGCCCCGTGAGCCTCGCGCCCCGGCCCCTCCCCCGCTCGCTCCCCGGCGCCCCCCGACCGCCGGAGCCCGCAGCCGGGAGCGCGACCGCCCCCGCCGCCGAGGTAGGAAGCCCCAGGCGTCGCGCCGCGGGGACTGGGACGGGGCGGGGGGGCCGGCCTGTCGCGCGGGCGCTGCGGGACCGGCGGGTCGCCTTCCCCGCCCGCGTCCGCGCCTCGCCCCGGGCCATTGTGAGCCCTCGCCGGGGCCCCTGCGCTCGCTCTCTCGCTCGCTGGCTCGCGCGCTCCCTCCCTCGCCGGCTCCCCGGCCTCGTCCCTCGTCTTTCTGCCTTTCTCCTCCCTCCTTCCCTCCTCCCTCCGTCCGGAGGCCGGGCCGAGCCCTGGCCCGGCCCGGGCGGGAGCAAACTTCGGCGGGGAAGTTGGGCGGCCGCGGTGGGGGCGCGCCGTGGGGTGAGGGGGCCTCCATGCCTGGGCACGAAGTTGTTTGGGGCAGCCGGGCAGCAACGCCTTCCTGTAGCTGCGCTGGGACTGTTTCTAGGACGGGGTTTGAAAGGTGTGCCCTCCCAGGCCCGGGAAAGTCTCTCCCTGCTGCCCCTGGCTGGCCCCCGCCCTTCGTTGGGTCGGGGGAGGGACGCGTCCCTGGCCAGGGTCAGGGCAGGGGGTGCTGAGCGGCGGGACTGGGAGCTGCAGTCCTGGCCAGCGTTTGTTCCTCCCCTTACTGTCCGGGTGGAAGCAGAAGGGCCTGGAAGAATGGGGAGGACCTGGGTATCCAACCCCCCTGGGAGAGGGTCTGGAGGGGGCGGAGAGGGCGGGGAGGCAGGTGCATCCCGAGGGAGGAAGATGCCTGCACCCTGCTTCCCTGCTGGCCCCCTGGGATGGGGCTGGAATCCAGGCTGGCACCTGGAGACCTTGGCACACTGCCCTGCCCAGCCGGGTGCTCAGGCCACAGCAGGACAGCGTGCTGCCTGTCCGCCTGTCCAGGAGGGCCCTCCTGACCCTAACACCCCTGGCAGCAGTGGTCGCAAGGAGCTGCCCGCCCTGCCCTTGGGCCTGGGAAGTGGGAAGGGATCCTGGGAGGAGCCCTGGGCCCCCAGCCATCACAGCCCAGGATCTTGGCTCTGAAGGGAATGCTTGACACTTAGGGGGCAGCCAGGCCAGCCAGGGACCTGGCCAAGGCCTGGGCTCTGGTGGTTCTTGGTCTGGGCCAGGGCCCGGGCCCGGGCTGTGGTACTCAGAGGCACAAAACCCCGGGGGTCCTAATGTCTGGTCCTGGCATCCTGGAGGGAAGGCGGTAAGCCCACGGCGGGGGAGGATTGGCAGACACTTGGCTCCCTGAACGTGCTCCTCAGCTCCCAGGATCGGGGAAGGGAAACTGGGCCCTCAGGCTGCCCCTCCCAGCCCTCTCCAAGCCCCACTAGGGTGCCCGTGTTCCACAGCTCTTCCAGCCCAGCCAACACATCCCTGCACCTTCTTCCCTCTGCGCCTCGACTGGGCCTCCCAGCTCGCCCTGGCCTGCAGTGGGGGAAGGGCTCCACCTGGGGGCTTCTCGCAGGACACCCCTTTCTGAGCTCCAGCGCAGCGCATTTCACAACCCACTCTCAGCTTGCTGGGCCCTGTCTATAGCCAGCCAAGCAGGAGGCAGCGCCCGGGGCTTGGGACACTGTTTATGGGGGTTGGTGACCCATTGGAAGCAGCCCTGTTTTCCTTAGCCCCTTCCCCTCCCCCTGCTTTCCGGAGCTGCCATTAGAGCTGACCCTCTGACCCCCCCATGCCTGCCCGCCCTTCCCTGTCTGTGACCTTTGACCTTTGGTGTTAAATCCCTCCAGCTGGGGCTCTTCGCCCCCTGAGTGACCCTGGTGCAGGCCCCTTGAGGGGCCTCTCCCTGCTTCTGGCTCTCAACACAGAGACACCTGCCAGTCCTCCCGCACTGATGGGGACGGGGTGCCCCAGGAAGCCAGACAGTGAGTTACCCCACTTCCAGGCACCACTGTTTTGGGGTCAGTGGCTTTGGGGGACTGGGTGGAGCCAGACCACAGCCTGGAGAATGAGTGGGAAAAACCGCGGTCTGGGAATCCGCGGTCCCGGATTTTTGAGTTTTAGCTGGGCCAACAACTGTCAGGGGCCCTTGCACCAGGTGCCTCCCCTTTCTGGGTCTCAGTTTCCTCATCTGTAAAGCTGAGGGATCAGACAAGGTGAGATTCCTGAGCTCCAGAGTCCGTGAGAAAACGGGGAGTTAGAGGGACCAAGGGGTGAGGCCAAGAAAAGCCAACTCCCCATTATCCGTGGGTGGAGCCCATACGAATAACTGGATGCCACAAACATCCAAAAACCTCATTTTAAACAATCGTGTGAAGCTCATTCCCCCAAAGCTTTTGTTGTTTCTAAGAAGTCCAGCTGCAAATGGGTAGCCCCAGCACTGTCGCCTCCTGCCTGTGCTCCCTTGCTGGAAGTGCCCCTCGAGGGCGAGGGCCTGTCGGGAGGCCCCCACACTTCCCTCTTTCCCCAGCCTGGGGTGGTGGGAGTGTCTTCTACCACCTAATCCTCCCAGGGTCTGAACTGTGGTGTGGAAGGAAGAATGTTTTCCTGACATTTTCCCATGTGCATTTCCATCTACCCTGACTTGCCTGGAATCCAAATTTCCCACTTGGGCAAGGGGGCACGGATGGGTGCCAGGCAGAGTTTGGAGCAACCCCAGGATGAGAGAGGGTGGTGACAGCTGTGGCTGGGGGACCAGATGTTGGGGCTGGGGCCTGCAGTTGAGCTCTTTGGGAGGCATTTGGGGTGGGCCTCCGTACTGGGAGGCACACTGGGTGGGTGGGTTGGAGGGGAGACCCGACCCCAGAGCTCCTGGCTTCGGCCTCCACTGTGGAATGCCTAGCCAGGTCCTGTGTCCCACGGGAGGCTGAAGAGGCCCCTCATCACCCAAGTGGGAAATTAAGATTGCTGTGGAGAGGCCCTGGTCTGGATGGAATGGGGGTGGAGGCTGCCTTTTCTGAGACTGTGGAGAAGCCTTCCTCCATTTGGGGTTATTATTGTCATTTTATATTTCACACAGATGACTGAGGCCAGAGGGTGACCCCTTGAAGGTACCGGTGGTCCTCCCTTCTCAGAGGTGGGCGGCATCCCTGGCTGCTGAGGGGAGACTGGGGGGCCGTCCAGAGGTTCATATCTCCCCCTGCCTGAGTTGCTTCCCCTCCCAGGGCTCGTGGGAGAGCTGCATTCCCACTCAGCCCAAGCCAGGCTGGATGGTACCCGCCAGCGCCAGGTGTAGGGGACCGTAGATCTTGCGGGCCCCTGGGACACATCTGGCCTAGTAGTTTCCCAGGTGGCTGCCTCAGCTCCACCCTGGTGAATTCTAGTTCAGGTGTGGCCTGGTGCAGGGACTCAGCATCTTCAACCAGGACCTCTAGTGCTTTGCTGCTAGCCAGGGTTGGGGCAGCTGCTTTGATGCCAAGACACAAATGGACTTGCTGGGGGGGTTCTTATGCTGGGGTACAGCCTGGAGTTGACCTAGGTTTCCCTCCTGGATCCAATTTCAATTCCTGCTGCCTCTCCACCTAATAAAAATTCAAGATTTGGTCCCCAGGGAGGTTGGGGTGGGGTGGGGAAGTGTGTCAGGGGATGGAGCAGATTGGGGGAACACCTCATAACAACTCCCTGGAAAAAAGTCAACAGGATGCCTTCTAATGGTCCAGAGAACTTTGCAGGCTTGACATCCATTACCTAAATGGCCATATAGACCTCATGAGAGAGATCATTGATCGTTATTTGACAAGTGAGGAGACTGAGGCTCTGGCTGGGGGTTATCAGCAGATTTCCCAGCCTGTGGGGAGAAGGGCCTGTGCTCCTGAGGGGGGCCCGAGCTGGCCCCAGCAGCTGTGTGCACTGGGCCCCAAGCCTCCATCCTGGCCCTGGCGCTTGAGCCCCGCCAGCCTCAGTTCCAGACCTGTCATAGTGGAGGCCAGGCCTGGCCCAGGTCTGCAGGGGGCCCCAGCCCGCCTTCCCATTCTAGCTCTGGGGCCTGGGACCTTCCTGGGGAGCTCTGGGAGTCTTCACAAAGCCAGTACTCAAGGGGCCACAGAGGGCTGGCTTCCCATCCTGGCTGGGACCTTTCTCTCCAAGCTCCTTCAGGCAGGGTAAGGTAGAGGCCCTGGCACTGGGCATCTTGAGGGGCAGGAAGCTCTGGCCTTCCTCTCCCCCTTCCCCTCCCAGATGGGTTGGAGGGCTCTGGTAACTGGTGGCCAGGCTGGGAGGATGGGGGGAAGGCACAGAGATGGGAAGTGATTCTGGTGGTGGGGTCCACTTCCCATCTGCTCCAGATGCCCTGGGTGGGGGATGGGCAGAGGGGGCTGAGATCTTCCAGTGCCATGACTGGAGGGCAGCTGGGGCTTCCACTGGCCCTTTGTCTGTGGTGCCTGAGAGCCCAGGTAGTATCACCACAGGAGGGCCTGGCTTGCCAGCATGTGACATGTGTGTGCATGGGTTCCCCTCCTCGGCAGATGGCTGCCTGGGGAGGAGCCTCAGACTTGGCCCCAGCCCCCTCCTCCAGTCACGACCAAGGGCAGGTGGGAGCCTGCGGAGTCCCATGAGGCCACGAGCCACCTGACTCGGCCCTGGAAGCCTCCAGGAAAGCAATCCTGCCGGGCGACTGAGGGTCTCGGCTGGCTGCGGGTCTCGTTTGGCACAAAGCACTCACAGGCTGATGCCTCACTGGGACTCTGGGAGTAAGGAGGCTGCCAGCAATGGGCGGGGGCGGGGGGGGCTCAGAGATTTGAGGGCTTCCCGGGGTCACCTGGGGTCAGGGAGGGCAGAGGGAGACTGGACAGAGTCTAGGGCAGTCTGCCCCTGGCCGCCGAAATGTCAGTTCCACCTGGGAATCCCCCAGCTCCATTCCTGCCCCCACATCCACTGCAGGGCAGATGTGGGGCAGCTGTGTCCGGAGGAAACCTCCCTCCCTTCCCCCCATCGTCCACCTGTGTCTGGCTGGCAAGTCCCAGCCTGCCTGAGCCATTTCTACCCTGGGCCAGCCCTTCCTACACCCAGAGTACCCCAACACCCCAACACTCCCAGTTCTCTGCCTGCCAGCCCCACCTTCCTGCAGGCTAGGGCCCCAGTGCCACCCTAGCACACTTGACAGTCACCCCAGCCAGTGTTTCCTTTTGGGTTGAGAGGCTGCCCCCGGCTTCTGGACTTGCTCTGCTGCCCAGTGGATGAGCAAGGGAGGGGCAGGGGTGGCCGGGAAGAAGGGCCAAGGGTGGAGTCCAGAGTTTGTGCCCGAGCCCCTGCCGGGCCTAGTCTTGCTGGCTGTTCTGGGGTGGGCTCTATGCCAGCCCTGGATGGAGCAGCAGAAAAGCTGGGGGAACTGGGTTCTTGTGGTGGCCCCAGCAGCCCAGGGTGAGTCCCCCTGCCCTGTCCAGGTGTGCTCCTGGGTCCCTGGCCGCAGAGCGGGAGGAGGAGGCGTCAGTGTCAGGGCCCAGGCCCCGCCGCCTCTCACCTTCACCTTAGGCAGGCCACTTCCTTCCTCGGGTCCCACACGTCTCCTCCTGCCCTGGCCGCGGACACACCAACGGACTCCTTCTCTGCAAGCATTCAGTGAGTGCCCAGCGTGGGGGAAAACAAAGGCATGTGTGCCAGTGCTGAGAGGGGGGTGGTCAGGATGCTCTAGCTCCCCCACTCGAGACCAGCCCCTCCTTCACAGATGGGGAAATCGAGGCCAAGAGCCTTGCACCCTCCACATCAGGGCAGGCCTCGCTTTCTGGCTCTGAGCCCCCAGCACTTGGCATCACCGCTCAGCTTACACTGGTGGAAGGAGTGGGCTTGGGGTGGGGAGCCGCGGCAAGTGGGGCAGCAGCCTGCGGGGAGGCCCCCCTCCTCTCTAACACCCGCAGAGGGCTCAGAGCTGCCTGCTGCCCCTCAGATATCCCTGCCTGCTCCAGGCATCTCTTTTTGGAAAGAGGCTCCAAATGCCAGGTGTGGGGATGAGTGCCTGGGGCCAAAGGTCAGGGGGCAGTGCAAATGATGCTCTGTGTGCAGCGCTGGACACCCAGAGCATGCTCAAGAGCTGGTGACATTGTGGCATTAGTGGTGCCTTCATGGACCCAGGGCCAGTTTGGCAGACAGCACAGGGCTGCCGCAGGGCTAGGGACAGTCCTCGATAGTGTGGAGATGGAGGCACATCTGCTCAGCTCTCAGTCTGCCCGAGAACAGCTGCAAGAGGTGGAGGCCCGAGAGGGAATCGGAATCACTTGCTGCAGGAGGGGGCTGGGGGAGCTGGAGCATATGGGGGTGTGGAAGGCTGTGAAGCAGGAACTGGCACCTCAGGGTGAGCGGCAGGCTTCAGGGAGGAGGGGACCCTGAGAAAGGTGGCGCTGCAAGGGATAGCCTGGGGACGGGGGCCTCTGGGCTGGAAAGGAAGCTGGCACTTTTGTAGAGTATTCTGCAGCTCCCTACTGGTCTGGTCCAGCCTCTCTTGTGGGCTGCCGCCTCTTGAGAGTCAGGCAGTTCGCTGTGGGTCCCTGGAGGCCACACCCCCAGGCCGCCGCATCCCTGGACCCAGAAAGAGTGTGGGCTCAGGAGCCTGGAGGTCAGCACTTGCTGTGGTACTTGGGAGCTCTGTGACCTTGGCAGAACTTGGCAAGAGCCCCACTGAGCCTTGCTCTCCTCATCTGGGCAATGGGGGGAATCACACCTAATTTGCAGGGTTGTGAGAGTGAGTAAGATGCTGGCCGTGACCAGCAGAACTCGTTGGGCCCAATGCTTTCTGTGTCCCACCCTTTCACCTCACCTCCATGCGGCCCACTTGGATAGCCCCTTCCCTCTCCGCAGAAGAGTCCACCCCTGATGCTGTTTCTTGGCTATCTGAGGTCTCTGGTGCCCCTTCACTGTCATTCACGTGTGGGCCCCCCAGAACCCAGAGGAGGGCCTGGTGTTGGAATGCATAACTGAGTGATGGGGTAAATGAGGCGGACGGAGGGAAGGGCCAAAGTCCAGGGCCCGCCTTGCCTGCCTCCCGCTTGGAGTTGGCAGGGGCCGTTCAGTGGGCCTGGTGCCTGTCGCAGGGTGGTGGGAGGGTGGGCTGTGGGCAGGACCCCTAGGGCTTGGGAGGTCCTCGGGGGGTTATCCTGCAGCTCAGCTCGGGTGGGGAAGGACAGTGTATTTCCTTCCCTGTGGGGACTCATCCCCATAAGCCGAGACTCCTGGGTCCTGGACCCTGACACTGATTACCTGCTGTGTCCCATATACACTGTGCTTGTGCACAGGTGTGACACACCCGGGTGTGCTTGTATACCTGGGGATGCAGTGGGTGCCCACCCATGTCCTGTGGGACACTGGCCAATGCCTTTGCTGGCCCCAGAGTGCACTGGCAGAGTGTCCAGCCCTGTCTGCCCACCGTGAGTGGCAGTGCTGCCTGGCAGGACCTGGGCTGCTTGTTCCCGGGCCTCCCTGGGTGTGTGTCCCTGTCTGGCTCCCCCGCTCCAGCCTGTCCCGCCCAGGGACTTGGACAGCCTGGGCCCAGCCCTTCCCTCCCTGTGGGCGGGCAGCAGGCGTGAGGGCTGCTCAGCGGGCTCACCCCTGGCTGAGGCCCAGGTGCAGGCAGAGCTCATAGCCCCACGCACCGGTTCCCCCCAAGCTGGGTAGACAGGAAAATACCAGACATAGTTGTGCAAAGGTGGCTGCAGGCGGGCAGGCAGCAGGGGGTGGGGGCCGAGGGGAGGCCTCTGTGCCAGCCTGGCCCCAGCAGATGGCGGGCATGCACATCTGTGTGAGTGTGCATGTGTAGTCTGGGGCCCATGTGTGAGCTGCTCCCCCCCCAAGCCGGTGTCACCCTGAAGGAGCTGGGGAAGGAAATCTGTCTCCTGGGAAGCTGGGGCTGGTGAGGGGTGTGGGGGAACCAGCCAAATGCCTTCCAGCTTCAGTGCTGTCTGAACTATCTGGGTGACCTGGGCCAGCCAAGTTACTGTGTGGGGCACCCCTAGCCCAGAGGCAGCGGTAAGAATCCTCAGGGCTACCAGCTGCAGGCACCTCCTGTGTGCCAGGTGCCAGGACAGGCTTGCCCTGCAAGATGCCCTGAATCCCCACCCTGCCTGGAACTGCCACCTTATGCGTGTTGCCTGTGTTACTGATGAAGAAACCACCACTCAGAGAAGGTGACAGGGACCCATCTGAGGCCCCATAGTCAAGGACATGGGCACAGGGGACTGAAACCAGGTACCCTGCTCTGGGTAGCATTCTCTCTAAACATACCTAAGTGGAGGGTCCTGGCACACACCTCTGCTCAGGTGCTGCCCAGCTGTGCTGCTGGGGGTGGGGGTGGGAGTTGCCCTAGGCCCCCTTGGCCAAGAGCAGATACCTTATCCACGGCTGGGCCACCTGGGGGCACCTGCACTCTCACCTGGGCGGAGTCTGCCCTCCAGTGGCATTGGGAAGGCGCCTGCCTGCTGAGCAAGAAATTCCCAGAGAAGGCCAACCCCGTGCTCTTCCAGGCAGTGCTGCCTGCCCAGGCCCCTCTCCGGGGACCTGCTGGGCCCAGGCCTCCAGCTAAGCCCCTACCCTGTATCCTGAGAGGAGACCTGCTCTCCCAGGGCTGCTCCGCACCTCTCCAGGGCCTCCTAGGGCCTTCTTTGATGCACTGGGGCTCTGGAAGGTGTGGAGGGGCAGCCGTGGTCACTGCCCAGGACAGCAGAGGCCTGAGGCCCTCCGAGGAGCACAGACTTGTTTGGTTATACACTGGAGTGTGCTCTCAGATGAGGGTGAGACTGCAGTGTCTGCGGGTACAGTGGGGAGGGCCAGCACCCCACTCGACTGCCCTCACAGCTCTAGATTGGCCAAAGGCGAGGGGACTCAGCAATGGTGACAGTTCATTGAATGAGGTTGATTAAGTGCCTAGTAGGCACCCAGCACTGTTCCAGGCGCTGAGTATCACATACTAATGGGAACCACTCATCATTGGGTGTGCACCACTACACTGATTTCTCCCCGAAACCCAGTGGGTGGTGGGGGTCTTGCTACTATTTTTATCATTTCACTTTAGAGACGAGGACAGTGAGTCTCAGACCTGGAGTGACTTGCCCTAAGTCACAGGGGCAGGAAATGGCAGAGCTGAGTTGCAGACCCAGGTGCTCTGACCCACGCTCGGAGCCCTGCCGGGCTGCCTGCTCAGGAAGGGGGGCCCTGAGAGGGTGAGGCCCAGCCCCTGCCACAGGGTTGGCAAGAGGGCGGAGTGCCTGGCCAGAGCAGGGAGGGAGCCTGAGCAGTTCCCAGGAATGTGGGGCCGTTTGCTTTGGCGGCATATCTGCCCTCAGCTCTCCAAGCCTCCCTGTGGGCCCCCCAGTCGGCCCCTCCAGTGCTCACCCACTGCCTGCTGCCCTCCTGGGCTCTCCACCTCTCCCCGATAAACCCCTGGGCAGGGAGGGGGTGCCCAGCTGGGGCCCCTTTGCTTGCCCTCCCCACATGCATGGGTATAGGGGGGGCTAATAGTGAAAATGGCTTCGGGACTCACCTGGGCTTGAAGTCCAGCTTTGCCAGATGAACTGTGTCCTCCTGGACAAGTCACTTAATTCCCCGCACCTCAGTTTTTGCATCTGTAAAGTGGGGATGAAGCAGCACCTGCCTTAATAGGTGCTGGCACATTGCCCAACTATCAACAGCTGGCTGTTGGTACTATTGTCCTATAATATTTATCCATGGTGCCCTGTCGGGCTTGCCACCCCCTTGTGCAACCTGGGGTGGGGGTGGGTCCACCCTCCAGCCCTCAGTTTCCCCATCTGTAAGACCAGTGCACTGACAGTGACGGTCCCAGTCACCAGATACTGGGGTGCCCATGGAGCACAGGGGAGGCCAAGGGACTTACTTTTCCCTTCTCCATTTGATAGCAAGGAAGCCACATGGCCTTTTGAGAGAAGCATCTTGGGCCCTTCTCCCCAAGTCCTAGGCAGGATGGGCCGCGGCCGCTGTGAGGTGGAGGGGAGAACCCGTATCCCACTGGGCCCGTCCTCTCTGCCCATGCAGAGGAGGCCCAAGTTCTCAGGGTGGTGCACAGGAGCCCCACCATGACACCACTCCAGGCCCCGGGCCACCAGCTGACCTTCCCTGAGTAGGAAGGAGGGGCTTCGTGCAGAGCAGATCCCAGCCAGCTTCTCTTAGCCCAGTGACCTTGAGCCTCAGTTTCCCCTCAATCGGGCAGCAGTGTAGGGGCTTTAGTGGGTCCAATGGAGAGCAGACGGTGCCTGGCACGTGGCAGGTGTTTAGCGGACGTTGACTCCCTTTGCTGGCGGTGTTCCACCCCGGCCACACGGCCCAGGCGGCGGCTGTGCCCTGCCAGGGCCTCCGTTTCCCGAGCGTGGGCCCGCGCGGCCAGGTGGGCCGCCGGGAGGGGGCGCTCCGCGGGCGGCAGCTGGGAGCCGTCTGCGCGCAGCGGAGGGCGCACAATAGCGGCCATTGTCTGGGCTCGGCGGCGGGGCTGCAGGGCCCAGGGGCCCGCGCGGCCCACCCTCGGGTGACCCCCGCCCGGGTCACGCCGCCTCGGTGGTCCCCGCGCCACCCCGCGCGCTCCCGCCGCCGCCGCTTCCTCCCGCTCCCTGGGCTCTAATTAGTTCCTCCCGCAGCTGGAGCCTCGGCGCGGGCGGGGGGAGGGCGCCCCGGCACCTCCGACGCAGCGGGAAACCGAGGCGGGGGTTCCGCAGTCAGACTCCCGGGGAAGGGACACGCCCGCCGCCAGCGCCGCAGGGGCTGTTGAGGGCACGTGGCCGCCGCCCCACTGCGGGCTCCGCTGCTGGGTGCAGAGCCCCCCGTCCCCCTCTGGGAAATGGGTCAACCAGGGGGGCCACCTCCGCACTCCCTGGCTGCCCGTGACCGATGGCCTGCCTGGCCTCCGGAGGTGATCCCGGCGACCGTCCCGGGCCTCAGCGGCCCAGGAGAGCGTGACCCTGACCCTTGCCTGCCTCCCCCTTACCCAGCCAGGAACAAAGAGCAGCGCCCAGGGCGGGGGTGGGGTGGAAGGTGACACTTTAAAGTTGGCCAAGGTTAGGACAGGCGTGGGTTACCAGGCGGTCTTCTCCCTGGTATGGGGCCGCCATTGGGAGGAAAATTCTGGGTGGAGCCAGCCTGGGGTAGGGGGTGCGGGAGCTGTGGGGCTTGGGGGCGGCTCCTTAGTCTTTTCCCAGGAGCGGGGAGACTGAGCTGCTGGGCTGGGCTCTAGCTTCCATCGACATGAACCCCTGCCTCCCTGGGCAGAACCCAGTTGCAGGAAGTGGGGGGGCCGTCTCGGGGCTGAGCCTGCTGATGAAGGCCGGGTCCTGGAGTCACCCCGCCCACCTTGGGCACTGGGCCCTGCCCTGCCCTGGGAGACAGCCTCCTCTTGGGGCCCTCCCTTCTAGGCCGAGGCAGTGTCTACTGCAGGTCTCCAGAACAAGGTGACCCAAGGCCCAGGGCTCCCTCCTGGCTTCACTCCGGCCTGGGGAGAGGGCAGCAGGGCAGGTGCCCAAGGATGTTACTTGGGCCGTGTTGAGAGTGCGAGTCAGTGACAGTTTGAGTTCCCATTGGGACTTGCCCACATGGTTCACTTCTCCCAAAGGTCCCCTTGTGGGTGGGGGACAGAGGCTGTGGGGAGGCCTGTGGCCCTAGGCCAACCGAAGGACCAGGCCACCAGCCCTTCCTGGCTCCTGAATTCTTAATCAGCATAAATATTTACTTCCTTCCTCCCCTTCCCAGGCTCCTAGCACAGAGGAGCTCAGGGGAGGTTGGGCCAGGCCTGTATCTAAAAATAAACAGGTGAAGGGACAGGCAGGCAGACAGACATAACTGAGGGGTGGGTCAGGCAGAGGGCACTTCCCTGCCCAGCCAGTGGGGAGGGGCAGGTCCATCCTTCATTGTCACCCCCCATCTGCCCACCTGGGTCTGGAGCTCCTAAGGACAGGGTGGCAGCCTGGTCCCAGCCCTCCTTGCATCTCTGGCAGCCTCTGGCCCATGCATGGCCTGGCGGACAAGTCAAACAGATTTGGTTCTCACCTGATGGGAATTTAACAAGGACAAGTCAGGTCACAGACCCGGGTCCCACCGCCAAGTACAGCCCCTCTACACTTGCCTGGGTTCGTGCTCTGATATCAGCCGTGTGCTGGCAGGGTCCTGGAATGTGTCCGCAGAAGCAGAGGGTCCTGATCAAGGGATTGGACCACTTTGTTCCCTATGTGCTTGGAGGGTCTTGGCAGAAGTGGAGCTTGGAGGGGGAAGATGGGTGAGCCAGGGCTCAGAACCTGGTGAAGACTGTAGAGTTACTGGGGGGACTTAGGCTGGAGTGAAGATGACGGGGCCCTGGGGCACTCCTGTCCCGTCCTGCCTGCCCCCTGGAGAGACATCTGGGCAGCTCTGTAAGCACAGGGACAACACCCGCCCCCAAGGAGACACTTGAAGGAAATATACCAAGTCTTTTCCCACGGAGTGGCTCCAGGGATGTTCTGGATTCGATGGAGAACAGGGAATGTCTCATAGTGGGACTTGTTTAGCAGATAGATTTTCAAGGTTAATCACCCCCAAACGCAAAGAAAATTTCGTGTACATGAAGGACTGCCACTGTGAAAGAAGTTTGAGTTTGGGATGAAGAGGTGACCTTGATCTTTGGTCATTTATGTGTGAAGAAAATTACACCATTGAGAAATTCTAAGGAAATGGTGAAAATTACAGCATGAGAACTTACAAAAGAATATCATCAGCAGTAAAAAATGATACATGTGTGTATTTTGCCAACCACCAGACAGAGCTGGAGGGACCCCTTCCCGCTAACGCCCCTGGCTGGCCTGGCTGGGCCACAGTCCCCAACTGCCCCCTAGTGGCAGCCCAGAACCCTCTGGTTCCCAGTGCCTCTGGCTGGACCTCACCTGGGAGACAAGGCCACCTGTCTGCACCCCCATCCTTTGGGGCTAGGTTTTGCACAGCTTGTTTGTGATAGGCTACCAGGCTTTTTCCCTCAGAGGGGGGCTACAGCTGCCCAGGGGCCCTGGACAGCAGGGATCTGACAGTCTGTAGTAGAGGACCACTAACAGCCCCCTGGGAGGACACTCACCGCTCCTGTGGCCTGGTTCCAGGTCTTCTGGCTGAAACAAGGCATGTGTCCCAAGCAGGGCTTCCCACTTAGTTAAAATGACCTTTGAGACTTGGTTGGCCAATTCCAGGCAGAATATCTGGACTTGAATTTCTGGGATCTGAGACAGTGTCATCTCTAAAATTCAGTTTCATGGCAAAATGAATTGAGCCTCACAGAAAAGACTTGTGGGAAGTGGACGTGGAAGCTCTGAGCAGGTGGTTGGTTCTCTCCACTGTACCTGCTGTCCAGGGCCACTTAGAGGTTCTCCCTACCTGGGGACAGAACTTACACTGTCTCACACCGACTGCCTCCCTCCCCCGTGGGCCTGAGAAGGAGCCTGTGGCCACTGTGTCACAGCACGGCTCCTGTCCTCCCCCAGGTTCCTGCCTGAACACCAGCTTGGGAGCTCCCCTCTGCTTGCTGCCACCTCCAGCCCCAGCCCCCTCACCATGCACTCCTTGGACGAGCCGCTTGACCTGAAGCTGAGCATCACCAAGCTCCGGGCGGCGAGAGAAAAGCGGGAGCGGACACTCAGTGCGGCCCGGCACCAAGTCCTGCACAGGGAACTGGGCCTGGTGGACAGCAGCCCCACCCCGGGCTCTCCAGGCTCCCCCCCCTCAGGTACCGTGCCCCTGGTAGGGCAGGGGTCTCCGGGCCCTGATGGAGCCATGACGTTAGGAAGCATGGCCTAGCGTGTCCCCAGAATGTACCCACAGCCCCTCATAGCTTCTGGCTTAGAGTCTGTCCCTGTGCCCTCCCAGCCGTTCATCTTTGGGGGTGACTTGCCCAGCTCATGAAGCTGTCACAGCAGAGCTAGGGTTCAAGTTCAAGTTGAGGCCTCCAGGGGGATTTGGGGCAGCTGGGGAGGTGGGTGGGGGATTCACAAGTAGTACAGAGGCCCCATGATCCAACTCCTGGCCTTTGAGGCAGTCTGGCTGGTCAGCCAGGCCAGTAATTTGGGGATGACCCCAGAAAGTGCTTGTCAAGAGGTGCTTTAGGCCCAGGCCTTCTGCTCTGCCTCTGGTGGACCCTAAAAACCAGACCTACCATGTCCAAGCTGGAAGCCTCTGGAAGCAGCCCAGCCCAAACCTCATGTTACAATCAGGGAACACTGAGGCAGAAAAGGATTCCAGGAAACATTAGGTCTCTACCTGCCATTGAAGACAGAAAACCAGGGCCTGGCTTCAAGTTCCTATTGTTACTCAACCTGTGTACCAACCCCTTCCCCTCTGTAAAATGGGTACTTCCCCACTTCCCATCTTAACCGATGGTGGCCAGAGTCACATTTGTCGGTCCTACAGGCTGCTGCTCAGATGCCTGGAGTCCCAGAGTGGTTTGGGCAGTTTGGCTGGTGTCTGCCTCTAGGGTCCCCATGGGGGATCTGGAGGGGGGGCCTAGCCACCAGGACCCCCAGCTCCCACACCCCTGAATTGTGCCTCTACCTCAGGCTTCCTGCTGAACCCCAAGTTCCCTGAGAAGGTGGAGGGACGCTTTTCGGCAGCCCCTCTGGTGGACCTCAGCTTGTCACCACCATCTGGGTTGGACTCCCCCAACGGCAGCAGCTCATTGTCCCCTGAGCGGCAGGGCAGTGGGGACCTGCCTGCAGTGCCCACCATCCCGGTAAGGACCGGGTGCAGGTTTTGGAGAGAGGAGGTGTGTATTGTTTTCCTGGAAAGGACCACAAACTGGGTGGCTTAGAACAACAGAAATGTATTATTCTCTCACGGTTCTGGAAGCTAAAATCCGAAGTCAGGGCATCAGCAGGGCTGGGTCCCTCCCGTCTAGGTAAGACGCCTTCCCAGCTTCCTCCAGATTCTGGCGGCTCTCGGCTTTCCGGGCCCTGTAGCTGCATCACTTCCATGTCTATCTCCGTCATCTCGCGGCCTTCTTCCCTCTGTGTGTCTCTGGGTCCAAATGTCCCTCTTTCTCTCCTGAAGACAGCGGGATCGGGATTTAGGGCCCTCGTCATCCAGGCTGACCTCCTCTTGATCACATCTGCAAAGACCCTATTTCCAACTAAGGTCACACTTACACACACGGGGTTTAGGACTGGGACATAGCCTTGAGGGGGACACAACTCCAGCCACAGGGGACGGGCGTCCGGGCCTGCTGGCCCAGCGGCGCCCTGACCAGCCCTGCCCTTCCTCGCCCCAGGACTTCCAGCCACTGCGCTACCTGGACGGCGTCCCCAGCTCCTTCCAGTTCTTCCTGCCTCTGGGCTCTGGGGGGGCCCTGCGCCTGCCTGCCCCCTCCTTCCTCACCCCCACCAAGGACAAGCGCCTCTCGCCAGAGCCACTCCTGCCCAAGCAGCTGGTGTGTCGCTGGGCCAAGGTGAGTGGGGAGCAGGAGGGGCGGGCAGGGTCTGGGGCACGTGGACCACGGGGGCTCAGAACGCCTCCTGGCCCGCAGTGCAACCAGCTCTTTGAGCTCCTGCAAGACCTGGTGGACCACGTCAACGACTACCACGTGAAGCCTGAGAAGGACGCAGGGTACTGCTGCCACTGGGAGGGCTGTGCGCGCCACGGCCGTGGCTTCAATGCCAGGTGAGGGAGGGGAGAGGGGCGGGGGCAGGGGCGGGGGGACCCAGCGACCAGCAGGCTGAGCCCCCCGTGCCCTCCGTGGGGCAGGTACAAGATGCTCATCCACATCCGCACGCACACCAACGAGAAGCCGCACCGCTGCCCCACCTGCAGCAAGAGCTTCTCCCGCCTGGAGAACCTGAAGATCCACAACCGGTCACACACAGGTGAGAGCCTGGGCGGGGCCAGGGCCGGGCAGGCCGCGCCCCGTCGTGCAGCACGCCCTCCGAGTGCCCCATCCTGGGGAAGCCTCTCCCGGAGGTCAGACTCCCCGCGCACGCCCTGGGAACCCAGACCCAACTTCCCGTGTCGCCCCCGGCATCGCTCCACGTGTGTGACTGGCCAGCCCAGGCCGCCTGTAGCCACAGACAGCGTGCCTGCTCCCGCACCACCTAGCTCTGCACACAGTAGGGCCAGCCACAGTGACAGAGCCACACACCTTATTTTAAATTTCCTAATTGCCACGTTAAAAAAATGTACAAAGAAATAGGTGCAATGAACTGTAATATTTTCTTGAACCCACTATATCCAAAATGTTATCACTTCAATATTAAAAAAATATCAAGACACTGAAATTCTTCATTTTCTACGAAGTCTGCAGAACCTGGTGTGTATGTTACACTCCCACGCATCTCAGTCTGGACTGGCCACACTTCAGAGGCCCGCAGCCTCACAGGGCTCCGACTCCTGTTCTGCTCAGCGCAGGAGCTAGTCCGTGAATCTGGAGCCATTCTGTTGAGTAAGGGCTGAATAAAGGGCAGTGGGCACGTGTGTGGTGCCCACCGTGGGCCATGCCCCTGCAGGTCTTGTGTGTCTCAGGTTCACCGTTCTGCCTGTTGAAGTGGGGGCCATCTGAAACACAGGACTGAGGTCACGGGCACAGGGGTAACCAGGCTGGCTTTTCAGTGGCTGTGCTCAGTCCTGCCCATCTGGGATCTGATCTCGTGCCCGGTGCTGGGGACACCACCACCTAAATTGGACAGTCCCTGCTTTTAGGGATATCTGGGCCAAGTGGGAGGGTGGGGAGGTGGGAGAGACCCCTCACGTCAGCATGCCCCGCAGGTGAGAAGCCCTACATCTGCCCCTATGAGGGCTGCAACAAGCGCTACTCCAACTCGAGCGACCGCTTCAAGCATACGCGCACCCACTACGTGGACAAGCCCTACTACTGCAAGATGCCCGGCTGCCTCAAGCGCTACACGGACCCCAGCTCACTGCGCAAGCACATCAAGGCCCACGGCCACTTTGTCTCCCACGAGCAGCAGGAGCTCCTGCAACTGCGCCCACCCCCCAAACCGCCACTGCCCACTCCCGACGGTGGCCCCTATGTCAGTGGGGCCCAGATCATCATCCCCAGCCCTGCTGCCCTCTTTGGAAGCCCTGGTCTGCCAGGCCTGCCCCTGCCCCTGGCCCCTGGCCCCCTTGACCTCAGCACCTTGGCCTGTGGCAGTGGTGGGGGCGGTGGGGGCACAGGGGGCATGGGCCCTGGGCTGCCAGGCCCTGTCCTGCCCCTTAATCTGGCCAAGAACCCACTGCTGCCCTCGCCCTTTGGGGCTAGCGGACTGGGCCTGCCTGTGGTCTCCCTCCTTGCTGGCTCCGCTGGCGGTAAGGCCGAGGGGGAGAAGGGGTGTGGGGCTGTGCCCGCTAGGGTGCCGGGCATGGAGGGCCGCAAGACACCCCTCGGGAGGACTGAAAGCAGTCGTCCCCGGCCAGGCCCCGATGGACTCCCCCTGCTGCCGGGCACCGTGTTGGACCTGTCCACAGGGGTCAACTCGACAGCCAGCAGCCCAGAGGCCCTCACTCCCGGCTGGGTGGTCATCCCACCCGGCTCTGTGCTGCTCAAACCAGCTGTGGTGAACTGAACCCGCCGCCCGGACGGCTCCCCAGCCCAGCTAGCAGCTTGCGGGCCTGCCGCTGACGAACAGAAGCTCTTCTGTGAAATAGCAATAATGTCCTCTTGGCCCTGCGGCCTGGCTGGCTGTGTGCCCCTGGGCAGACTCTGCCCCAGATGAGCCGGGCAGCAAGGATGGTGCTAGGTCCTTGCTGCGTCCGGGGCTCCTGAGGGAGGAACCAGGCCTGCCCCTGCCATCCCCTAGGCCCGCACCCTGACCTGGACAGGCCACTCTCCATCCCGGCCTGGCCCCACGTGCCCCAGCAGGGGTGGGTGAGGTCGCATGTGCTCTCCCTGCTGGCCTGGGGCTCCCCCACCTCACACAGTGACCTCTGAGGAGACCCTGGGCTTGCGGCCGCACGGTGTCCTGCCTGGCCTCACCAGGCTCCTGCTCTGGGACCCCCTGGACCCTTCCCTCTGGCTGTCTCTCCAGAGGGAGAGCAAGACAGACACAGGCCCCAGCGAAGCCGCAGGAAAACGCCATCTTACCCTACGACAAGGCGCCTCTCCCATCTAGAGAGGCCCGCTCTGCTAGCTGCCCATCACCGCTGACCCTTTAACACGGCCAGCACTGCCTGAGGGGCCGGGTGCTCTCCAAAGTGCAGGGACAGCTGACCCCTCACCTGCCCTTTCACCACTGGGCCTCCTCCCTCCGTTTAGGGGGGGAGGTGCCAGCACCTGGCTGGCCTAGCTCAGGTGTGGGTGGGGCTGGGCCTGGTCTGAGACAGTGCCCGCCCCACACAGGGACTGTGGAGGCCCGCAGGGTGTCAGGAGGTGGGAGCTGGTTGGGGACAACCCCAGGCTGAGACAGCTCCCATTCTGGGGGCACCAGGTCACAGACACAGGTGAGGTAGGGCTCTAGGCCAGTGCTGAGTATGGGAAGTTTTTGGAGTCTGCAGATTGAAGATCTGGGATTTGGGGGTGGCGAAGCAGCCAAAGAGGCAGCACCTCTGCCTGGGAAGGGGAAACCAGACATGGCTGTTCCCTTTGTCTCATCAGCTGAACTGTCCGAGCCACATCCCCGATTCCTGCTGACCCACAGCCCGCTCTATCCCAGCGCCAAGCTCCCCACAGCACGTGCTCCCCCAACCCTGAGTCCTCGCTCTTCCAGGAGAGCACCTGGTGTGTCTGGGAGGCTCTGGCTCCTGGCCCTGCCCTGCCCTTGGCCGCTGCGTCTCCCCAGCCCTAGAACAAGGGAGCTGCAGGACAGTGGCGGGGTCCTTAAGCTTGTGGCACCAGGGTCCCCGTTGCTCCTCTGAGTAGCTCTGCTTAACCCCGCCCTTCTGTCCCAGAGGGGTCACCCCGACAAGGCCCAGCGGTGCTGGCTCTGCGCCTAGAAGGGGCTGGGAGCGAAGCAGGAGGGAGCTGGCCTCCCTTTTCTGGGCTCCACCCAGGGGTAAGGGCCCCAGGCTTTAAGTCCCTGGCCGGAGGGAGGGCTGAGACTGAAGCCCAGGAGCAGAGGAACAGGGCGCCGGAAGGTGGCGCCAGCTCAGCATGTGGCTGACAGACCAGGCTCGGAGGGCCGGTGTGTGTGTTGTCGTTGTCGGTCTGTCGTTGCACATCCCAGGATATCAGTGTTTTAACAGGTTCCAAGTGCCTTTCTATAGTAGCTTATGTTTTTCCTCCTCTTGGCTCCATTGCTGTTAGCATAGAGTTAACAAAAAAAAAAAAGAAAAAAGAGATAAGCTAATGACTATAACAATATATTCCTCCATGTGAGAGGAAGTTTATAAAGAAACAATAAAAGTGAGTTGCAAAGATGAGTTTCTGTCCTGGATGCGCCGGGAGCTGGGCCACCTCCGACTGTCCTGTGTCTGGCTCTGGGATCACCCACCTCCAGGCTCAGCACCCAGAGGCCCTGTTCTGGGGCTTTGTTCTGAGGCTTCTGGGGCTGCTGGAGGCTGGGAGGGGATGGGTGTTGAGGGAGCAGGGGTGTGAGGAACTGAGACGGAAGCTTCAGGCAAAGCACAGTCAGGTCCACGTCCAGCCACTACCTGCTGGGACTGTGGTGAGCACCTTAGCCCTGGGGAGGACCCGGCTCCCCGGCCACACACAGGAGCCTTCTGCTCAGAGCAGAGATGCTGCTGACACCCAGCTCAGGGACAGGCTGCCTGTGACAGCTGGGGGCCTGCGGCTGTCCCATTTGGAAAGCACACAAGGAGACCTGAGGTTGGTGATGCCACAGGTGCTGTGACAGCAGCAGTGGCTGCGTCTGGTTTGTGACATTCGTGGGTGGGCAGGGCCAGGCTGGCCCTGCTGGGTGTTAAAGACGCGTTAACAGGGAGGCGGATGCCGCTGCCCACCCTCTCCTCGTGCACACAGCTGGCAGGGAGAGCAGCCTGCCTTCTCGAGAAGTGCAGAAAAGACATTTATTACCAAGCTATAAATTAGAGGTGCGGGTGGGTGGGTGGGAGGAGCTGAGCCGTCACGTTTGGGTTGTCTGGTCTTGCTCCGGGTCCTGGGCCCGGATTCTGAGCTCCTCCTCCAAGCGCTCCTTTGCTCGGACCACCTGGGGGAAGAGAGTTACAGGCAGGCAGGGAGGCCTGCAGACGGCAGACTTCCGGCCTTGACAGGTCCAGTTCCCACTGCAAGGCCCTGAAAGGCAGGGGGCAGACCCAACCCAACAGTCTGAGGGGGCTATAAATGCCTCCTCTATCAGTGCCCAGCACAGGTGGGCTGGCATGGGGCCTCCTCCCCCAGGAGACCGCCCAGGGCACCATGACATCTAGGAGCCGAGCGCTCCACCAGCGAGTGGTCTTACTGCCCCAAAACCACGGTGCTGGGCGGGCCCCTATCCGACAAACGACAGCCTGAATGGCTGGGCCCTGTGGCAGTGAGGCAGCCAGAGGGAGTGGCAGGTGGGGGTGGGGGTGCCCCCCGAGGCTAGGGCTCCAGGGAGAGGCCCAGCATGCTTTTCTGTCTGCCGTACTCTGAACTGCCTGGAAATGAGGGGCTCTGGGAGAGAGGAGGTCCTGTGGTCTGCCCTCCTCCCACCATCAAAGACCACTCACCTTTGACTGCAGGTAGAAGGAGCCACCCACGGACTTATCATTCACCTTGAATAGGTGTTCATAGTTCTGCGGAGGAACGAGGTCAGAGAGATATGAGGCCTCTGGGTGAGAAGTGGGGGAAGCTCGCTGGATCAGTTTCCTGCTGCCCCACAGGCTCCTGTGCCAAGGGCCCGACCGCCCCACCCTGTGTGCCCCCCATGAGGGCCTGGGAATCTGCCCCAGCTGCTCAGGGGCAGAGAGGTGGGCAGGCGCCACGGCATGGGGTGGCTTGTGCCTCTGCCACTGCCCGCCTTGGGCCTAAGAACCAACAGGTGGCAGCGGTCCCCGCAGGCTGGACCGGAGGCCGAGCTGGCTGCAGCCAGAGCCCGTGCACACGCCCCCTCTGCTAGGCCTCCTCCCCCTCCCCCTCTGGGTGGCCAGCCCCCAGCCCTCAGTGCCAAGGCCAGTCGCAGAGGCGGCCTGGGGGCCCCACCTTCTGGATTTCCTCCGGACTCAGCTTGGACACGTTGAGAATCTGCTGTGCCTCCTGGAGGCTGAGGCCGGACAGGCTGGAGGCGGCTGCAGATTGGTGCCCGGCGCGTCCTCGGGCATCAGCCGCTGCCCGGCTGGCTGTGGACACATGGGTGAGCGCTCAGCCCTCAGCAGCCCAGAGCACCCCCTGGGCCTTCCATGTGTGCAGCTCAGCCCCGCCAGGTGGCACAGAAGAGACACGCCGGAGCAGGGGCATCTCCTCCCCAGAAGGGACTTGCTCTCAGGGGAGTGTGGGTAGTAGTGAGGCGAGGACACCTGCCCACCGGAGGACGGGGCAGAGTCTGGCTACCAAGCCTGGAAGCCGGTGCCTGGTCTAGACCATCGGATGGCCCTTCCCCCTCTTCCCTCACCCACCTCTTCGTCCCAGGCACACAGCAAGTGGGGAGCTTTAGGCTATAATGGGGAGCAGAGTGAAGCTGCGGGCAGGAGGATGTAGCAGAAGTGCAGTCAGGCCCTGGCTGCCCGCCCGTTACCTAGGCCACCGAAGCAGGCTGCCTCGGGGACCACTTCCCTTTCAGCAGCCCTAGAATCAGGAACCAGTGAACTTTTTCTTAAAGGTACAGAGAGTAAAGATTTTAGGCTTTGCAGGCTGATAATTAGTCTGTGTTGCAATTACTTCACTGCCTTGGAAGAAGTCAGAGGGTGTGGCTATGTTCCAATAAAACTTAATTTATAAAAACAAGTGGCAAGGGGATCCAGTTTGCCAACATCTGCCTGGATGCTCATTCCAAACCAGGTTTCTCTTCCATGGGAATGTTCTAAAGTCTACCATGCCCCTGACCATGGAAGTGCCCCAGGCTGCCAAAAAGCCCAGCTCACAGGGGACCCTGCATTCACAACTGACCCACAGTGCTAGGAAAAATCTGAGCCGGGCAGGAGCCCCCAGCCCAGGGGCAGACAGGGGCCCAAGCTTACCTGCAAACTCCTGCCGTAGGGCCCGGGCAAAGGCCCTGCCTACCACCTGCACCCCCATCACAATGATCTGGGCCAGGTACTTGGCCTGTGGACAAAGCAGGTACCTGGTGAGCAGACTGCATCCTTGTGGCCCTCAGAGATGGAACCCCAGAAACGGCTGCTGAGTGGCAAGGCTTCGGGAGATGTGAGGTAATGAAGCACAGGGCAGCAGCCACAGGCTGCTTCCTCCAAAGTACCCGATAAAAACCTTCTGTTCTGGGTGACTTCAGGTGCTGATCAGACAGCAGGCTGGGGGTGAAGCTGAGGGGGTCCCCACAGGCAGACGGGACTCTCCCTTGGCCTTCAGAAGATGACAGGAGCCAAGGCCAGGTGGCTGCGGGGGACAGAGACCACTGACTTCAGAAGAAACACTGTGGCCTGGGAGTCAGAACCGGGGTCTAACTCACTCTGCCACCCTGGGCTGCCTCCCAGGACTATTCAAGCCCATTCCAATCAACACAACAAAAGTGAAACATGCTCTGTTCCGCCTTTAAGCAGCAAAAAGCCCACTGTGGGGGCATTCAGACACCCAAAGGACCACAAGGGGAGGGGGAGAACTGTTGGTCACCGCTGCTCTGCTCAGCACCCACGCTATGGAGGATCCGCAGAGCCCAAGCCTGACACCAGAGGTCTTGCAAACTGAGGCCGCCTGGCAGGGAAACCCTCCACTGCGGCGCAGGGCTTTTCTACCCCAAGACTGTGTGCTCATGGCACCAGGGAAGCCCACGGGCAAGCGTCANCCGCTGCTCTGCTCAGCACCCACGCTATGGAGGATCCGCAGAGCCCAAGCCTGACACCAGAGGTCTTGCAAACTGAGGCCGCCTGGCAGGGAAACCCTCCACTGCGGCGCAGGGCTTTTCTACCCCAAGACTGTGTGCTCACGGCACCAGGGAAGCCCACGGGCAAGCGTCATGCGCACGGCCAGAGCGCAGAAGGGCGATGGAGGGTGGCTTCAGGGATGAGATGGGGGCTCTGGGGAAAGACTGTATTTCTACCGGGCTAGGTTCTGAAGGGCAGGTAGAATCATGGCAGGTAGAAAGCCTGGCAATACCGAGGCTTTCTAGGCAGAGGACCGTGGTGAGCCCCCACGGCAGGAAGCCTGAGGGCTGTCCAGGGGCAAACAAGAGCCCAGGGCACCCATAAAGGAGTTGGAGAGAAGATCTAGCCACAGATCTCACTGGGAACAGATTACAGACAGCACGTCTGAAAACGACCCACGCGTGTGAAATGGCGCCTGGGAGAGCGCTCACACCACTCACACAGGCCAGCACTGCCCGCGGACTGCCTCAAGCAGTTCCTCCTTTTCTCTGTGCTTTTCAGTTGTTTGATTTCCTCTCGATCAAAAAGTTACCAGTCAAGTCTCGGTTCCAGTCACTATGCTCAACATGTTCTATTTATTGTGCCATTTAATTCCCAAAACTGAAGACACTGACGCACAGAGGGGTTTAGTGACCAGCCTGAGGACACACAGCCAGTACCTGGGGAAAGGTGGCGGGAAACCCAAAGCTGGCACTATTAGTCATGGCATTCTCCAGGCTGCCCACCTCACACAGGATGCAGGGACAGCAACTCAGCAACCTGACAGAGATCAAGGACCCAACCCAGGGGCCAAAGAGGGGCACATCAGATTCCAGTAGAGGTCAGACCCTGTAACTAGCATTGTTTGGCCTCCAGGGCACCTGCCTGTCCCGAACAGGCAGAGTGGGATATGGTTCTGGGCCATTAGAGGGAGTTAATAAATGGAAGTTGGTTTGGATTTCACAAGTAGGTGGAAATTTCATAAACCGTGTATTTCACATCAGAAAACAAAGCTCAGTGAAGACTCTCCAGAGATCAGAGGGCAGAGGCTGCAGCCAGCTGCACACACAGCTGGTCGGGACATCTCACCCAGCTTCTCCTCTCTTGCCCAATGGCACTCCCAAGTGGGACGGAGGCTCTGAGATGGGCTGCTGACCCTGAGAGAAGAAAGGCTAAGAGGCCAGTAGGTAACCGCAGACAGCCCCCTCCGCCCCAGGCCCCACCTCGGTCCGCCGCCACATAGCCCCACCAGACTCCTTTACATACCCGCTGCTCACGTCTCTGCCCAGGGCTGTGACTGCTGCTAAATGATGAATGTTAAGAACTGAGGCTCTAACTGGGGAGCTCCCCCAACCACCCCTGAAGGCTTCAAACCAAGGTGGCATGACGGCGCAGCCCGTGGTTCCTGCTGCCAGAAACCCAGGGCTTCAGGGACGGCTGGGCTGGCCTGGAAAGTTCCAGAGGCTCCCCTGGCATACCAGGGGAGCTGCCTAGTTGTTTCCACAGAGGCCACCAAGGTTCCTGCAAGAGGCATTTCTCGGGGAGGCAGTGGGGTGTGGTGGTTACCCAGGCAAGCTTTGGGATCACCAGGGTACAGATCCCAGCTGTGTACCCTGGACAAGTTCTCCATCTCCCTGAGCCTCAGTTTCCCCACCTGTAAAATGTGGTCAAGAGGGCTGTCAGAGATTAAATGAGATATGTAAAGTACCTGGCACACAGCCTGATGATACAGCAGGTGCTCAATAACTGTTGGTTTTCATTTATGGCATTCATCATTCTTTGTTTCACAAAACTTGACAGCGGCCAGATACTATGGGGTAACAAAGCCTCTGATACAGCAGCTCATTCGGTATATCCTGATTCCTCGGGCAGAGGCTGCACTCTCCCAGTGCGGAAGCGCGTTGAGAATGCTGCTTTGGAGGCAGGATGCCCTAACTTGGAATTCCAGCTTCGCTTCTTCCAAGCTGTATTACCCTGGACAAATGACTCAACCTCTCTGAATCTTAGTTTTCTTATCTGCAAGATGGGGAGAATAATACCCTTCTCACAGGAGGGCTGTAAGGTCCTCAGCAGGCAATGAACAACAGACAGCGGCAGGCCTGGAGCAGCCCGAGAGCTGCCTCTGCTTTTGAACCAGATCCTGCTCAGGCTGAATGTCCAGAGATCAGCAGCACAGCCAACCCTCCCATCCACATCTGCAGTACTCAGACGCCCACTGATGCCAGCTGTGGGGCAGCTATGCTCAGGGCTGAGGATCCTTGGGGTGCAGAGCTCCAAAGCCACAAGCTACCATAGGTGATGATGGCAAGCCACTGGCGGAGGCCTTCCCACAAAGCCCCAAAGCATCCCATAGTCCACTGACCATCACTTGGGCCTGAAGACCCTGGGCAAGAACAACCAGCTGACATGACAGCCAACTCAGGCCAAGTGACAGCCGAAGAACAGAAGTCAGAGCCACAGGACTCCAAGCCTGGGACCCACCGTGGACAGCACAAATGCTTTTTCAACTGGGGAGCGATGTAACCCACTCATGACCATGCCCTGCAGCCAGAGCAAAAGACCACAGGAGCATGGGAGGTGGGGAGCGCTCAGGAACATGACTGATCCCATGTCCAGGGAGCCTGTCTTCCAGACAGACCGATGCACAATGCTTCCTTCTGGCACAGCTCCTGGTGGACAAAGACTGCCAGTAAGAGACCCCCATCTCAATGATACAGAGACAGGAAGGGGGCTCTGTTCACCCAGGGCCCCTGCAAACAGTTGCTGGCCTCACAACTAGGCAGGAGGGGGGTCAGAACCACAAATATCCCAACATGCCACGGTATACACAGAGCCCAGCCTGACACTGGCAAAGCAGGTGACGGATAAGTATTTGAATGAATGTGACACTTAACTGGGTCGGTCACCAACGGCATCAACTCTACGCCCACAGACAGGGTTTCCAAACACGTCTTACTCCCTCTGCTGGAAGGCTCTGGCCATCCCACCAAAACACAGGCACAATTCCCCGCTGTCTGCCAATTCAGTCCACCCCCCAGCTTGGCATTCCCCGCTGTCTGTCTATAACGTCTCTGGTCTTCTCTCCCCTCACGTCTCTCCACCCTGCAGCCACACATCTATGGCTCCACCAGCAATCCTACTTCTTTACCCCAATGTCTCTGCACCTCCCAACTCACACACCACAGAAATCACTCTTTTAAAATACTGTCTTTTTACTTTTTAGTGTATACACAGAGCTGTGCAAATGATCACCACAAATTCTAGAACACGTTCATCACCCTCCAAGAAAACTCCATACCCATTAACCCTGACAGTTCTCTCTCCTATTCTTAACACTTTGTCAAAACTTAACATCCTTAAGACTTAACACATCACTCCTGCTCCCCAGGAAACCTTCCCAGGCTCCTCCCATCTCCACCTCCTCATAGCACTATCTTTTCCTATTAATATTATTGCTTTTTTTTTTTACAGATTCACCTGCTTTCTGTTTTAGGATACAAACTCCTGAGCTACATTTTACTTGGCCCTTGAGGGTGCCTCAAAGTTACACACAGGAATGCATGCGAAGGGCCGGCTCAAAAAACATCAGTGACTATTACAAGGCAAGAATATTGTGGTAAAGTTAAGTGTGTAGTCTCAGGACACAGAAGAAGCTGGGCTCAAAACCAGTCTCTGACATTTGTGGGATGAGTGACCCTGGAGAAGAATCAAATTCTCTGAGCTTCAGGGTCCTTATTCTTAAAATGCGTACAATAACAGCACCGATTTAGTAAGATTAAACGAAGACAATCTAACGTAAAGCCGCAGCTCGGGGACTGACACTTGCAAGCTGTTATATTGCCTTTATTATCAGTTAAGTGGCTCTCCAAAACGGCTGCCTCAATCACTGGGGGAACGTATACTCTGGGGAGTGCATCTTAAAGGGTTCCTCGGTGACCCGACGCTGCCAGGGTGGCCCAGGTCTGTGCACTGGCTCCAGATGCCAATGATACCGCAGAAACGCTGTTTTCGGTGCCTGATTCAAGTCCCAGTTCTGTCACTTCCTTGGGAAAGCCCGTTTCATCAGCTTTCAAATGGGGGACAATAACAGGGAGACACCGTCACTGGCGGCGGCGCAGAGCAGGGGCTCGCGGGCCGGACCCAGCCACCACCACCCTGGGCTGCGCGCACATGGGCGAGCGCACGTGGCCGTTTCCCGGCCGCCCAGGCCCGCCCTGCCTTCCAGCCTGGCGGCCCTGTCGGTCCCCGACGCCGTCTGCGCCCGCCTGGTCCCCCGGCTGGGACGCCCCTGACCCCGCTTCCCGCAGGGCGCTCATGGGACGCACGGCGTCCGCAGCCTCCCCCGCCACGGCCCCCAAACAGCATCCCTCCCCCGGGAAGCACACCACCATTTAAGCCTCACCATGGCGACCGCTCAGCCTCGGCGGCGCAGGCCCTGGTTTCCTGGCCCCGCGGCGCGGGCTCAAGGGCGGCCGGCGGGTCAGAGGTCAAGAGACCGCAGACCGCGCGTGCGCGGCCGCCGCTATGGGCATGCGTGTTTTCACCCCAGGGGGGACGGGGCGCCTATAGTGACGTAAAGCGGCGGGCGGAGCCAGAAGTAGGACCAGCCTTAGGCTTGGAGGACCGTCGGGGTGATTGGCTGGCAGCCTTGGAACTCCAGCCCACGTGCTTATTCTGGCGCGCTAGGAGCAACTGCCGGGCAATTTCTTTTTATTTTGCCAAAACACATGGTAGAGAAAACTATGCAATAAATATTCAAGATCCCACGAACATAAGCAGTAGGATGCCAGAGTCTCACAAATACATAAAAAACAGGAAACTTAAAAGTAGACTTCATTCTAGGTTCCTCGGCCTGGGAAGGGCTCACTTTGTCCTCCTTCCCATCTTTGCTTAAATGTCACATTCTCAGGACCACCCTGACCCCCTACCAATGCTGCCACATTCCGTCTAACCTTGTTTTTTAATAGTGGCTTTATTGATATTCACACATCATACAAGTGACCCTTTCAAAGTGTACAAGTCAGTGCTTCTTAGTATATTCAGAGTTGTACACTCACTGCTAGCTCCACACCATTTTCATCAACTCCACCAAAAACTCTGTGCCCATTAGCAATCACTGTCCATTTTAGGCCTCCCCTAAATCCCCGTGGGACCACTGTTCTGGGTTATATCTCTATGGAATTTCCTGTTCTAAATGTTGCATAGAAATGGAATCATACTGTATGTGGTCTTTTGTGTTTCACTTCTACCTCTATTATTCTTGATACCTTGAGATCCCCCTGCCCTTACCCAAAAATTGTTTTTCACCTTCTACCATATCATGCATTTCATTGTTTATACTCCCTTCCCTCCTACTAGGATGTGGACTCCTCGTGAGTGGGACTTTTCCCCTTCTCTCTTACTGGGCATCAGCACTGGGCAGGGCGGCCGGCACATGGAAGGCACCCAGCAAACATTTGTGGGATGTCGGGCTGCCCTGTACTGGGCTCCGAACCATTGCTCTTCCTTCCCTCCAGATTCTTCTTTCAGCTCCCACATCATCCTTCCTTTTGTCTGAAACGTTCTTCACATGGTTCCCTGAATGGCTTAGTGGCCTGCGGGTCTTAGCTCTCAGCTTAAGTGTCACCTTCTCAGACCCTGAACACCCCACTTCCCCCTGCAAGCCCAGTCATTCCCTTTCACATAGTTTATCTTCTTTACAACTCTCCTAACACTATTTGCTTTCTTGCAGTCTGGCCCCCTGCATAAAAAGACTGTTAAGCGCTTTGGGAGGTCTTGGAGAGGTCTCTCTGGGTCATTACAACATCTACCATCCAGAGCACCGCTGGATACCTACGCACTGGATAAAGCATAGAGCTGAAGAGGCCTCAGGAGCAAGTGAGGCCTGGGACAAGGGGGAGACCAGGGCCAAACCACTCTCACCCATACTCTCATCTCCTTCCCCAGCCAGACAGCCCAGAAACCACAGCAGCACAAGAGGTGGACAGCTTAAAAAAGTTTAATTATTGAAAACATCCCGGGCATGTGCAGGCCAGCCCCTGTAGGACTCATGCCCTCCTTAGTTGGGCCAACAGCTCTGTAATACCCCCTTCTCCTGGCTTCAAGCCTGGGGGCAAGGTGACTGGTCCCAGGCCCCTGGGGCTGGTGCTGCTCCAAAGAGCCTGGTGGGGGCCAGCCCCCAAGGCAATTGGCTAGAGCAACAGGCAAGAAGGGTTGGCTTGAAATAACTGAAAGTGCTGGGCGAAGGGAGCCCAGGCTGGGACCAGCCCAGGTGCAGGAAGGAATACAGGCAGCCCAGGGCCTGCCCAGATACATGCTGCTGACTCCCACCCCCCTACCCCTCGCTCCACATGCTAGCAGGCAGTTGAAGAGAAGCAGCCATTCCCAAAGAAAGCAGAGGTGTAGCTGATCCACAAGAGTTATGGAGGAACCCAGAGGCCATGGACATAGCCAAGGCCCAAAGGAAGCCAGGGCTTCTGGGATAAGGTGCTCCAGAGCTCAAAGGTGTTTGTCTCCCAGTTTGAGGGTGAGAGGTGAGGTGTGCAGGGGGCACGAGGTGGTTCTAAGAGGTGGCAGTGGCAGGTGAGGCCAGAGGTGGCAGGTGGGCAGGCTAGTCCTGGGAAGATAAACCAGGATGTGGGGGTCATCAAGAGGCCTGAAGAAGGGAGGTGGCACAGGCTGCAGGGGTGAGTGGGGGAGGGCAGGATGCTGAGGATCCCCCCGTCCACTCACCCACTCATCCTCGTCCACACCTTCAAAGGCGTCCTGGGGGAGTGGGTCCTCCCTGTTCCCCAGCTTTGCCACCATGGCATTCAGCAGCTGCGAGGGCGGACAGAAGAGGTGGAAAAGGAACAGGACTCCCCTCCCCAGGAGCAGTGGAGCCCACCGTTTGAACCCTGCCAAGGTTGTGAAAAGAGCTGTTTTCAACAGAGCCCTGACAAAAGTTGATGGTTTTCACTGAAAAAGACACCTTGACAGAGACGGAGGAGCCAGGCCGACACACTGACGTGCGGCGCGGGAGTCCCACGAGTGCCGACTCAGGTGCTCGGATGTGCACCAGGGTCCCAAATGTCCGGGGCCCCAGACTCCAGCTCTGGAAGGCCCCCCACCAAGCTGTGCGTCTGAGGGGGGTGACACTGGCTCCTGCCCCCCTCTGGGGTGGCCGGGACAACTGAGAGGCAGCCGCCAGGTGTAGACAGGACCCCATGCCCCCCCCGTGCCTACCTCTTCCTTCTTTTGCTGGTCTGACTTCTCTTCCAGGTAGAGCACCGAGGACGGGGCCCGCCGGGCAGGGGCTTCACGGGGGGCCTGGCTCACTGAGGGGGTGGGGAAGGCAGCAGGCAGTCCCCTTGGTGGGGGCTCCTTGCTCAAACCTTTGGCACCTGCCCCTAGGGGATTCTGTGGCAGAGACCCCAGAGGGGGCATTCACAGCTGCTCACAAGACATGCCTGGGCACCAGGCTGCATGTGTGCATGTATATGCGTGTATGTTGGAGGCGGGACTTGTGATGGAACACAGACCCCAGGCCCTGCCCTCTAGAGGCGCTGAGCCCAGAGACGCCGCCACATCATTCTTGGGAGTGCCCGAAATTTCTGCATTCCAGCAGGGATGGAGGATCAGACCTGGGCCTTCTGTCCTTTCCTCTAACCATCCCCAGTTCCCTGCTCCCATCTGCCCTCCCAGTACCCCATCCTACCTGGGGTCATGCCGGGAGGCTGCAGGCTGAGAAGCCGGGGCTGCCCGTTAGCACCTCCCAGCCAGGCCTTGGCACTGAGCACCGGCTCCCAGCTCACGGCTGTGTCTGGAAACACATCATCCTGGAAGAACTCTTTCTGCAGGGAGGGAGGAAGGGGCTGCCCTGAGGCACAGGCCAGAGGCCCAGGGCACACTGGCATCCACCGGGAGGAAGGTGTGCCCAAACTCAGGACCCCAGTCTGGAGTTCCTGTGTTTTACAACCTTAGCAGAGTAAGGACAAGTACCCCAAGAGCAGTGAGTGGGGAAGTCTGGGGACGGGCCAGTCAGGCCCCAAAGCCCCGGACGGGCTGGGGAGAGGGAGTGGCTGTCAGACTTCAACCTCACCCTGACTCGGGGTAGCCGGAAGGCGACAGGCTCCAGGGAGGTCTGACGAAGCCGCAGGCATCGGGCAAACTCTACCTCCCGCACGTCACATTCCGTTTTGGGCAGGAGGACGAAGCCCTGGCAGAGCAGGAGAGTCTGAGCAAGGGCTGGGGCGCAGAGCGCGTGGGAGGCCAGCGGCCCTCGCTTGGGACCGCCAGGGCCCTACCCCTATAGTGGCGCACGGGCAGCTCGCTCAGGAAAGCGCCCTGCTCTGCACCACTGACCGTACCCGTGGTTGCTGGCCGACCTCATGCCACCAACGTGACTTGCTGGTGCAGGCGTGCGGCAGCGCCGTCTTATGGTGCTGCCACTGGACAAGGCCAATGTGCAAATAACCTCAACAGCTCAAGTAATAGTAAAGTCAGGTAACATAATTAGGAACTGATAAATTGAGTGTTTACTGCCATGGTTTTTAATATAACTTATCTGTAGCTTCATATAATTTGGCCTTATGTAACGTAAGTTTTAATAATGGTCGAGTTTGACCACCAGCTCCATGTGCCGCTGGACACACCTGGCCCCGTGACCCGCTGACCCCACAGGCCCCTGCACTTCCCCATATGGCCACCAGAGGGCGGGGGAGCCCGCGGTCCCACCCAGGGAGTGAGCAGCTCACCTTGTGAGGGTCTGAGGACGTGAAGTTGTTGCACTCCAGGAAGAAGGGAGCCTCGGGAAGCAGCTCATACAGGAACACGCGGGTGTCACCCTGGGCCACGGAGGAGGTGGCAGTGAGAGTGAGGTGGTCTGCTAGAGCTGCCTTCCTCCCCACCTCCTCGCATCTGCCCTGCACAGCCCGGCCCACCTTGCCCGTGAGGAGCACCAGGCCGGTGTCCGGGTCGTAGCTGGGCAGCAGTGTGGAGGGGGCCACATCCAGCCCCAGCACTGACAAGGGGCCGCCGGCCAGGGCATCGGATGAGTATAGGAGCAGCTGGCGCTCGCTTCGGCTGCAAGGGAGCAGGGGTTGGGGGTGGGTCAGGAGGGCTCAGGGCTGAGGAGAGGCCTCTACCCGTCCTCTTTCCTGGTCCAGATCTCAGAACTACCATCACACACCCAGACAATGCGGGCTCCACGGGCCCCTTGGGGCCCCGGGCCTTCCTGTTGGGATACAGCACACAATGCAAGCATCCTAACCCGTCACCCTTCCTCCTCCCCAGGTACTGGCCACACCACTGCCCCTGACCCCCCTCTTGGCCCCAGCACCTGTCCTGTGCCAGCTGCGGGGATTTGTCTCCCCACATTCAGCCAGGCTGGTCAGCTTCTTGGCCTTTCCACCCAGACCTGAACGTCCCTTCCTCCAGATCTGTGCTTACTAGCTCATTTGAGACCCCGTCCAAACAACACATCCCTTGGGAGGACCCCCCTAATCCCCCCTCCCAAAAGCCAAATGCCCGTCCCTCGGACTCTCACACAGGCTCGGTCCGTTTCATGTGCTTCACCCGGTCCCCACCAGGCACAGCTTCCTTGCAGCAGGGCACAGCTGTCATCCCTTCGGACCCCTGGGTGACTTATATTCTTCCTCCCCACCTCACTCCTTCCCACCCATTCACCCCCACCCCCACGCAGCACCCCAAAATCCATCCATTCAGTAAGTGAGGGGTGGGGGCCAGCTTCTGCTGAAGTCTGGGGACCGGGATGACTGTCCCAGAGTCCTCACCTGTCAAAGCCAGATACCAGCAGACAGTGACCATCACACACCCAGACAATGCGGGCTCCACGGGCCCCTTCGGGCCCTGGGCCTTCCTGTTGGGATACAGCACATGAGGCCCAGCCAGGACCCCCTGGCCACCCCAGCGCATCTTGCTTACCTGCAGCGGCTCAGGGCCACTCCGAGGCTCGTAGACTCGTAGGCGCCCATCCTTGCAGAGAGTGGCCAGCTGCTGCCCGTTGGGACTCCAGGCCAGGCCAAAGATCTGGGGGCAGGTGGGCACATGAGAGGCGTCTTCTCACCCCATGGCTGGGTGCCTCTCCCCACAGCCGCCTTACCTGGTCCTGGTGGCCCCGCAGCCTCAGCCGCTCAGCTCTAGCTTCAAGGTCCCAGATCCGAACGGTAAAGTCATAGGAAGAGGACGCCAGCACATCGGCTGCCAGTGGGTGGAAGCGCAGAGAGTAGATCTTCTCCGTGTGGCCTGGGGGTGAGGCACAGGGTGATGCTGAGACCCTCGGAAGCCACTGCCCATCCCCCGGCATCCACCCTGGGCCCACCTGACCTGTGAGCGTTGCCTCAGGTGTGGCAAGCACCTCCTCCAGGCCCTCTGGGGGCACCCGCCACAGTCGGATCCTGGCGTCCTCCCCAGCTGCAGAGGGCAGGCCCATCACTGCTGGGCCGAGGACCCTGGGCACTCCCAGTCGGTCCCCAGTCAGGGCCCCAGGGCCCTCCTGCAAGCCCAGTGCCCAGCCTCCTTACCCACAGCGAGGCGGTGGGGGTCAAAGGGGTCCCAGGCCAGATCAGTGACGGCCGCCCCATTCTGCAGAGTGGGCAGTGCTGTGTCGGGCAGGCGGCCGGGCTTCCGCAGCTGCAAGAGGTGCCCCACCCCAGGGCCCATCAGTAAGGACCAGGCAGGAGAGCCTGCTCCCTGAGGCTGCAGGGCAAGCAGCAGGCCTGGGCCCCACCCTCTGCAGCAGAAGCCCCACGACCGGGTGGCCTAAGCTCTCTGCCTCAGCCACCCTGTTCTCCGAGCCACAAGTGCTGACTGTGAGATCCCAAGAAGTGAGGGGGGCAGTGTGGAGTGGTATATAGAGCTCAGGTGGCCTGGAGACAGATCCCAGCGCCACCACTTACACAGCTGTGTGACCCGGCAGGTCATCAACCTCCATGCCTCCCTGCTCTCATCTGTAAAATGGGGTAAGAGTGGTATTCGCAGCACGGGGCAGCTGCAAGGATTAAAGGGGATGCTAGGTGGGTGCCTGGCACATGGTCTGTGTTCAGAATATGTGAGCTGGTGTGGGTACCTGATGCCCTCAGCTTCCTGCAGGGACCTGGGGGGCAGCCATGGTGGGGTGGGACTCCTTACCTCGAGCACGGCCACTTGCCCACCGCTGCTGAGCAGGGGCACAGCCACACGTAGCTGGTTGGCACAGAAGCCATCACTCTCACCAGGTGTGGTGAGGTTGAGCCCCTTGAGGTTGGTGATGTGGGTATCTCGGTGAAGGACGGTGCCCTGAGCATGGCGGAACTTGGAACTGGGACCTGGCAGGTGGCAGGGACACGGAGCCACATGAGGATGCCCTCCCTGTTCACCCTGTGCTGCTCTGCAGGAGGACCTCAGGCCAGCGCTGAGTCCTGGCTGACTGGGCCCCTCACTGCAGGATGGTGCATGGCCTGTGCCCAGGCCTCTGCTTCTCTAGCCAACACATCTCGCTCAGAGTGGTGCCTGGAAATGAGACTGGTGATACCTCGGGGAAGCCCAGGGAGCCAGAGAATGTCCAGGCCTCCCTCTTGTAGATAAGACTCACCTCATCCCACAAGACTCCACCAGGTAGGGAGTCAGGGCTGGGGCAGACAGGGCTCCCAGGATGGGGCTGGCTGCCATCCTGCCATGCTTACCCAGCATGCTCTGCAGTGACCTCTGGCTGGTGCTGGTGCTAATGCCGCTGGTGCTGGAGAGCGAGGGTCCCAGGCTGGAGGGCGTGGAGGGCGAGGGCAGCGAGCTGGGTGGGGAGAAGAAGCCCTCCTGGGGGAGAAGCACCCTGGGTCAGCCCCAGGCCTGGGCCCCTTCTGGGCTGTGGGGCACTGGGCTGGGCAGGAAGCCTGCTGTGGGGTGGGGGCCTGGATGCTGAGGCTGACAGGGCTGGAAGTACCATGGGGGTGAGCTGAGGTTCAGACTATGGACACTGCAAGTGGCTCCGCCAGCTCCCAGCTTTGTGGGAGCGCAGGCTGTGGGGTTAAAACCTGCCAGTATTTCAAGAGAGCCAGAAATCCAGATTTTTATGTGCAAATTTTGCTTTGTGTTTGCCTAAGTTAGAGAATGCTGTGAAGTTCTTTATTTATGCTTTGTGAATTTCTCTATTATGCATGACAGTTAAAAAAGGTTAAAAAAAGACCATCGGGCAGGCAAACACACTTGCCCATTCTGACTCAGGGCACCCGCTGTGGCACTGTGAAGGAGACAGCGGGGGGCAGCCCTGGCACTCACACTGGGGTCCATGTCGCCCACGGGCGTCTCCACAGGCTGGGCTGGGTCAGGGGGGAACTCCGCAGGGGACACCAGGCAGGAAGTAAAGCTGGCACGGGGCCTGCAGGCCGGGTCAAGGCTGACCTTCTGTACCTGTGGGGAGAGGCCGGCAGTTGAGATGGTGGGAGGTACAAGGGGACACAGGGCAGCGGAGTGAGTGCACAGCTGGGCTGTGGGGCACCAAGGGAGGTGGCCTTAGCCCTACCTGCTGGTTGCTCCCCGCCCACCAGGTGTGGGGGTCAGAGGCAGGTACACAGCCAGTGGCGTCTGGGAACAGGTCCTTATGGAATTCCACAGCCTGGTGGCAAACAGGCAGGTGGCCAGTGAGGCCCAGGAGGCCCAGACCTCCCAGGCTCCCTCCCAAAACCCCTCACCTTGCGGGGCACATGGTAGCTGATGGGTATGATGGCTGTGTCACTCAGCTGCAGGACACGGAGCACCTCGCAGCCCATGACGGCCAGCGCCCGCCGAGGTACCAGGGCTGCCCCCCGCAGCGCACTCTCCAGGAGGCACTGGGTCACTGTCAGGAGTACCACAGACCAGTCAGGGCAGGTGGGGAAGACCCAAGGGAGGGGGCCCAGAGAACAGGATTACCTGGGCTCAGTGCCAGCTGCTGTGGGACCACCTCATAGCAGTACAGCCGGCTCTCACCCTGAAATGAGCCCAGACTGAGTGCTGCCCCTCCCTGACTGTGCCTGGGTGGCCTGGGGCACAGCCTGGGTCTCACACCGGCTCCCCCAACCCCCTCCAAGGACCCAAGCTGCAGAGCCATGGCAGACATCCCCTGGCACTGACATGCACAGGGCAGGCCTTACTGCGGAGGAGTGGGGCCCGGGTATTCACAAAGCAGGCTAACCTTGATCCCACAAAACTGACATTCCTGGGGGGGTTATAGTCACTCTGACTACATGGATGAGGACACGAAGGTCGCTCGGCCCGACAATGGCAGAGCCTGGGCAGCACGGCTCTAGTCCCTCCTTTCTAGGGGTGGTTGGTGTCCTTACTTCCCCGTCCTGGCTGGCTGCCTACCTCAAAGGTTGGGACAGGGACTGGCAACTGAGGGCACCAGCGTGAGACCTAGCTCTGGCGTGGGCGGGTGTTCCAGCTCCTTGCTCACCTTTCCCGCCAGGACCAGGAGCCCGGAGTCCGGATCCAGCAGGGGCATCAGCGACCTGGGGGGTAGAGAGGGTCAACGGGATGCAGCCAGCCACCCAGACCAAGGGGCGGCAGGAGGACTGGCAGCCTCATAACCCTGGATGGGGCCCGCGTCGACTGCCCCTGTGTCCGGAGCAACGTGGCCCCTCCAGCTGTCCGGCCTGGGACTCTCCACCTCCTCTCCTTGTGCTACCAACACACTGAGCACATGCCCACGTCCAGCCTTTCTTCCCCCAGGTCCTCAGTGCCCCCCTGCCTCCCCCCAGGACTTGCACCAGGCCGTGGGCATAGGGCAGCTGTACCATCTTCACACACTTCGGCCCCAATCTCGGTCCCAGGTTCATCAACTCCAGGAAGACCCCATCTACTTTCTGCCCCCCGTCTCACCTCAGCTGGCCTAGGTACCAGGCCAGTGTCACCAGGGAAGCTGTGAGGGACATGCGGAAACTGGGGGCCTCCATTCCCACCCAGGGCAGGCAGCCTGGGTACTCCAAGTCTGCACCAAGCTTTGGGGGTCATCTCCTCAGTCACCCCAGGCTCCTGGGGCCTTGATGACATCTTAAGAGACTCAGAAGCTTCCATGGCTGAAGACTCTGAGCCTGTGCCCAAGCCTGAGCCAGAGGCAGGGCCCCCTTCACCAGGGTGCTGCCCCCCTGCTCAACCCAACTCCGATCCTGCAGGGGGGCCCTGAGCGCAGTGGCTGGGAATGTGGAGGGCAGGCTGGAAGCTCCCCAGCACCCTGCTGCCCCGTGCCCGCCTGGCTCATCCAGCCACGGCTCATTCCCGCCCAGGGATTCAAGCCTTCAGGGCCGTGGGTCTCCTAGGGGCAGGGGCGGGGGAAGGGGCAGGAAAACTCCTGATGGGCTCCTTCATCCACTCGTTTCTTGGTCCTGGTTTGACCTCATGTCCCTGGGGACCTGAGGGCCTAACCCCCCAGCCCAACGCTGCTGCTCACCCTCAAACAGAACCCTATTCCCACTGTGGCCCCGGTTACCAGAGGCCACCCAGCTGTGGCAGCTGCCTCCACCCCTCCTCCTCTGCAGCTCCACGATGGCATCAGTGGCTCACGCGTGCTCAAAACCAGCCTCCTCAAGAAGCTCCACCTGGCCTCCCTGCCTCATTAGCCTCGCTGGCCAGCCCACGGATCCAGGAGCCGAGGGCGTGGGGGCAGGAAGTCATGGAGGGCAGGACTGACCCCTCCAACAGGTCAGGCCAGTCGGCCTTGCCTCAGGCAGAGCCATCTGGGCAGCTCTGCCAGGCAGGAGCATCCTGCCTACCACAACGCGGGCCAGGAAATGGGGTCAAGGCACCCAGCCCCAAGGGCTTGTCAACAACTGGCACGGGCCTGACCCCAGGCCTTGTAAAGAAAGCCAAGCCAGGTGTGGGTCTGGAATGCAGCACCAGCTCCGGCCTGGCAGAGGGCCAGGGGTGGTGTGTGCCGGCAGGGGCAGGGCTGGCATCTGAGCCTGCCTCTGCAAAGGGCTCTGCTCCAGACCCAAGGTCAGAGGTGGTCTGGAGCCTAGATCTGCTCCCTCCTCCCTGAGCCCAGGCCCCCGGAAGATGCAGGACAATGTGGGACCCCGTGGGGGAGGGGCCGGCCCCCAGGAGTCCCCCTGGCATGCTCAATATTCCTGTTACGAGCACAGGAAGTGCCACAGTGGGCCTGCTACAAACAGCGGTCACGAGTCCTCCTCTGCTTCTCTCTGCCAGCCCATCTCTCCCCTTCAGCCCTACCAACCATGCAGCATTACCACTGGGCCAGAGCGGTCCAGGTCCCTCAGATCTGCCCTGGTCACCCAGGCTGGGCAGCGGGGACCCACTCGCACCAAGGCCTGCCCCACAGGTTCCAAGGTGGGTGGCGCATGAGGAGAGGAAGGGAAACCTGGGGAGGGGGTCTCCTGGAAGCTGCCCTTTAACTTCTGGGTGTGTGGAAGAATGGTCTGTGTGAGGTCAGGGTCAGACCGGGGCAGGGATGGCCCCTTTAGGTGGGTGGGGCCTCCATCAGCAAGAATGGGCCACCGAGGTGGGAGGCTTTGGAGCCTGTCAGGAAGTCCTGCTCCTTGGAGAAAGTCAGACTGGAGGTCCTCGGGACAGCGGTCCAAGGGCAGTGGCTCGGGACAGTCTGACCAGAGCTACCCAGTACTGACTGCAAACCCAGGTGCTCAGCAAGTGAAGCAGCCTGACATGAGACATCTGGGAGGGACGGAGACTGGGGCAACTGTGAGCCCAGGCCTCAGTTAGAGGGGGCTGCTGCTGCACAATCCCAGCAGAGTTCCTGTCCAAGGAAAGCAGGGAAGTCCCATTTTAATGTGAAACCACTGGAGTTTTCAATGTTGGCAATGGCTTCAAAGTCTAAAAATTCCCATAGAGGTCAAATGAAACACCCCAAAGGCCAGCACTAGCCCAGGAGCAGACGCCTGCAAGCCATGCCTCACATCCACCTACACTAAAAGGCACAGGGTGCAGGTGTGGGAAAGGGGCTGTCCTGGGAAGGAACTGTCGGGGAAGGGCCCTAAGGAGGCTGACAGGGGACATCTCGGAGGTGACTATAGCAGGTGGACCCTGCTGAGCTCTGTTATTGACTGGACACAAAGATTGTCCTGCCTTCCAAAGGCAATTGAGTCCTTCAAAGACCACACAACCCCTAGCTGGTGTGGCCCAGCCTCTCAGGACAGGCCTTTGGGCCCAGGCTTGAACTGGCCCAGCCAAAGGCCTAGGCTGCAGGCCAGACTGGAGAGGGTAGGGGCTGTCCCACGGCTCTCTGGAAGCCAGGAGCTGTGCTGGGTCCCCAAAGGCTCCGATGCATGACTCTGACCGCAAACACGGAATGGGAGGAGGACAGAGCATTTTCCTGGAATCCTCCAAAGCAGGGGATTTTTCTGGACTAGTCCAGGCTCTGGCACAAGCCTCTCCTGCCCCATCAAGGGCTGTGGTCAGCTGTGCCTGGGCCCCACCCACTGATGAGGCCCTACCTTCTCCCAGTTCCTGCCCCCGCTGCATGTTCTGGCCTCAGCTGCTGCCAAGTGCGGGGCCTGGGCAGGCTGTGATGTCTCACTATCTTCCTTCATCTGCAGTGTGGGGAAGGGGCCCGGGACCCTCATGGCACTTAAATCCTTCGTGTTTCAAAGGACCCCAGAACTCAGATCTGACATTAGAGGCTGTACTTAAGGGCTCGGTGACCTGCTCACGGATTCTTGGAATTTGGATTTGCTGCCAATAACACATCAAGAGATTCCACCTACAAAGTCCCAATTTCCAGTTTCTTTTGGAAAAACCAGGAGTTCTGGCAGATGGAGGCACGCTCACAGGCCGAGCCTTTCCGTCACCCCCGACGCCCCCTACCCGCCTACCCCGCCCCCCAGGTCCCCACAGGCTCCGGGGTCCCCTCTGTGAGTTTCTTACTTCCTGGTGTCACAGGCATCCAGACTTGAAGGCTCTCCTGCCCGGGTCTTCAATACAGAGACCTGCCCAAGATCCTACGGCAAGCTCGTGGGGGGACAAACTGAAGCGCGGGACCTCTGACCCCCGCCAGTGCTGTGCGAGGACCGGGCTGCCCCACCAAAACGACCCCTTCCGAGGGGGCGGGACCCCGCCGGCCCCGCCCCGCCCAATGGGGAGCGGCCCCGCCCGGGGCTCTTAAAGCGCGGCCCGCCTCCTGTGAGCAGACTCGGCAGCCCGAGCCAGGGGCGGGGAGACGCGGACACGGCGGCATCAGACCCCGAGGACCCAGGCCAGCCAGGCTCCCGCCGCTGCCCGGTGAGTGTCTGCCGGGCTGAGGGCGGGGACTGCGGGGCGCCACGGGCAGGCCTGTGTACAAGCACCGATCGGACGCGCACTCAAGGTGGGCACGCGGCCCCCGGCCTCGCACGATCACCTGGGCCGCTCCGGGGGCACGGCGGGTGGGCCCCGTGCGCCCCCGGCCCGCGTTGGGCTCGCCCCCTCCTCCGGCAGTCCCATGGCCGGGGTGCGCGCGCGCGCGTGCACACACGGCTTACCGGCCGGCGGGACTGCGAGCAGACAAAATAAACACCCCCTCCCTGGCTTCCTCCTCACTGCTGCGCCCTCCGGCACGACCAGTTTCATGAATCAAACCCCTCGGAGGGATGGCTAAGCCAGAGTCTTGGGTTACTTTTACCTCCTGGAGTGGGACAGTCTGGTTCTGGGCCCGGAGCCCCAGGTGCCCGCCCCTGTGCAGATCAGCTGCCTGGGGTCCCGAGGGCTCTTGTCAATCAGGGCATAGCCAGGGCCACAGGTATGCAGCCCTTAGTGAGGGGTGGCTGGCAGGTATCTGATGCCCCAGCCCTGGCCCCCACTCCCTGAAGTGGGGGTGGAGGGGAAAAGGACCTTGGCTTGCTGTGGCCGTTCGTTCTCCAGGTATTAGGGAGTCCCATTTCTGCCTCTGCCAGGGAAGCAGCTTCACTTGGGCTATGAACCCAGTGGCCTGGAGCCAGCCTAGTCCTTTGTGTCTCTGGGCTGGCAGTGCTGGGGCCTGCGGGCTGCCGAGGTCCCCTGTGGTCACTGGCAGGCCAGCTGACTGGTGCCAACTATTCTCCCTCACCCCCATTTGTTAACGATTACCACACCAGGGCTGCTGACCGCCTCTCCTGCTGGGGCCAGGGGTAGAGTCTGACAGCGGGGAGGGAGGAAGAGACCCTGGGGGTCCCAGTGTCACCTTTGCTTGCTTTCTGCACCAAGGGCAGGTGAGGCTTCGGAGGCACAGGGGCTCAGAGCCCTCCTCCCCAGGTCAAGAGCTGCTGGGACTAGGGTACTGGACTGAATCCCAAAGGTCCCTTCACACCAGGCTGGGCCTTGAGTACTGGGGACCTAAGTTAGGTCCACTTGAGCTGGCCCAGTAGGCAGTGAAGTCCAGTGTGGACCCAGCTGTTGGCAAGGCCCAGGAGGGCTGAGGCGGGCTGGCTGGGGGATGGGAGGGCGGTCCCCGGAGTTTGCTGTCTTCTCTCAGGGGAATCAGCCCCCGGAGCTTCTGTAAACAGAGTGTCAGAGGCAGGAAGAGGGTTCTGGCAATGAGCAGCCCAGCTGGGCTCCCTCCAGACCATTATCTGGCCTCTCCCGGGCCCAGGGGGGGAGGGTGAGCACACGCATGCCAGGCTGGGGGCCAGGGCACTGCCTGACCCACCTACCTGGCCGTGGGCAGCAACAAACTGAGACAGCTACCCTGGGACCTGTGGGTGCACAGGGTCAGATGGGACTGGTGTCCAGGCTATTTGCTAGGATGGCATCACTCTCTCCAGACACTGGAAGTGAGGGACAGGCTCACCACGAGAAGCCCCTCAGACACTGCTGACCTGTGCTTCTACTAGGATGCACCCTCTGCCAGGCAGCCCTGGGGCCAGGGAGATGCCCTGACCCCGCACTAAAGTCCTGACAGAGCTGAGACAAGCCCCATGTAAAGACAGTGGAGTTGTGGGGGCTGGGCAGTTCCTGGAGACTGAGAATGAGGAGACCCGGGGTCCCAGCGAGGCCAGGAGGCTGCTGCCTCCTCAGCAGACCAGCTAGCCAGGCCCCTTTGGTGACCATAGAGAAGGCCGGGTGCGCCTCTGCCCACAGCATCCGTGAGCTCAGGGGAGGGCAGCACCACCCCCCACCCAGGCTAGTGACCCCTCCCAGAGCCCCCTCAGCCCCCCTCCCCAGGCCAGGGAGCCCAAGGCCCTGCACTGCCAAGAAAACCAGCTCCCCTCACCGCTGTGGAATTTGCGAGAGTTCCCGGAGGAGGGTGTGTGTGTGTGTGTGTGTCTCACAGCGCAGCCCGGTAGGTGTGTGTCTGCTGTGGGTGTGTGTGTACGTGCGCGTGACTGGAGCAGGGCTGTTTGGGGGCGGGTGAGGTGCTGAAGGAGTCCGAGTGCACCCCAGTGGATGGGGGCTCAACCCCCTTGCTCTTATCGGTTCCCACATTCCAGAGTCAGCCGGACTGCTTTCCCTGGCTGGCTGGCCGGGCCCACAGGCCTCCCCCGCTTTTCCTCATTCCAGCCTCCCCCTCCCTGGGTACAAGGAGGCTGGGGCAGGCTCCCCTGGGCCACCTCAAGTCTGGGGGGGTGGGGGTAGGCCAGGGGCCAGTTCTCCAAGCTCAGGGAAGGTCCCCCCACCAGCCTCCTCCTGGGGAATGCAATAAGGCTCTGACATTCCTCCGCGGCTGCCTGAGAGATTTAATTAAGGAGGGTGAAGAGAACTGGCTCGCACTGAGAAACGGCTGGGGTTGGGGTGATCACTGGGTCCCCAATGGCCCTGGGCCCGGGGACTGGATGGGTAGCAGTGAGAAATAAGAGTCCTGTGGTGGGGGCAGGGTTGTGTCCCCCCACCCCCAGTCAGTCCCATCAGACCACTGACCAGCTCAAAGACCCCAGGAGGGTCCACTGCTTCCACAGAGGGACCGAGAATGCTGAACATGGGGACCATGAGCAGGGCAAAGCCCTCTCTGGGGCCGCTTCCTTCTCAGACCTTGTCTAGGCCCCAGACGGCCTGGGCCCGGCTGGCTTGGAGCTGGTGGCCTCCCTTGGTGACTAAGGTCTTCCTCTGGCAAATGAAGGGTTAGGGCCTTACTTGTGGGTGCTTGGCTCTGAGTGGGGACAGTGCAGCAAGGAGGCCATGTCTGAGCCCTATGCATGCTGACAGTGGCACCTGGACTGGCCCACTTCTAGCTGGGCCACAGCTACCACGCAGCTCCCGGGCAGCAGGTGTCTTCTCCCAACAGACTGGCAGTGCCCCTGATGGAGACGGCACATCTCGCCACCCTGAGGGCCCACTTGAGCTAGGGAAATGGCCTTAGTCACTGGTCTCCCTGCCCTGGACTGACAGGTCTGGCAGCTGCCAAGTCATCCTTGGTGCCACAGAAGGCACCCACCTGGAGCGAGGCAGGGTAGGTGGGTGGGGGAGGAGGGTGCAGGATCCATACCCCTCCATGGACAGGGAGCCGGGCTTACATCCAGACTGCCCCCCTCTGCAGTCCTCTGCCCCGGGGTCCGAGTGCTGGCTGTACAAGAGACTCATCCGAGGAGCTTCTCCGAAACACAACTCTGCCTGGGCCTCACTCCAGAAATTCTTATTTAATTGGTCTTTGTAAAAAGAACTTTACAAAGCTTCCTAGGTGATTCTGATGTGCAGCTGGGGTTGAGAAGCCCCTGGGGTTACAGGTGGGAAGTGGAAGCCTGGGGAGGGAAGGGGCCTGGATGGGGTCACAAAGTGGTGTCACGCCCTCATCTGGAGAATGGGCAGAGCTGGCCAAGCATGGTGGATGGGGTAAGGCAGAGATACTGAGGCTGGTGGGGACCCTCCAGCTTAGCCAGAGATCAGGGCTATGGCCCCTACCCAGAAACAGGGCCACCTCCTAGGAACCTGAGGCTCAGCCCCTCCAGTGCCCCCTTCCTGCTCCTTCCATAAAGGCCCAGGATGGAGACCACGACCTCTGTTCTTCTGGACCAGGGGCTGCTGTGCCCCAGTGACGGGGAGACGGGCGGACCCAGCCTAGGCTCTGAGCCTCCTTAGACACGTCAGCGAAACCAGAGCCAGCCATCCTGGCCACCGGCACAGTCCCCGCCTGCCTGGGGGATTGGCAGACTCCTGGGCTGGGCTGCTGCCAGGCCTGGCTAGTAATGCTTAGCCCAGGCGGGCAGCCCAGAGCTATGGGATCAGACCTGCAGCGCCTGACACGGGAAGGGGATGTGCCAGGCTGTTGGACGGTCCAGACCTATCCCCCACCGGCCAAGCACGTGGCTTTCCCCAGAGGCAGTGGAGTGCTCCTGCCTGAGGTCTGATGTGCTTCTCCAAATGCGTGGGTCCCACCCACTCGCCCTTCCCTGTCTGACCCAGGGCCTGTGTGTGAGTGGGTGGGGGCCTCCAAGGATATCCCACACTTGCAGGGGGCACGCTGGGTCACTGAGAGCTGAGGTGATGAGGTCCTCACTCACAGAGACCCTCCCTCTGCTCCCCCCAGCCCCTGCGGCCCTATGCTGAAGGGGGCTCGCCAACGGGCAGCTCACACCCCCCAGCCGCCTTCCAGAACTGAAGACACCCATATCAGGCTGCTCTCTCCAGTCCCTCTTGCCCTCCTGTGCCCGAGGGTGGAGGGCCCAGGGGGCCTCTTGTCTGTACTGGAAGCAGCACAAAGCCTCTCACACCGTGGCATCCTCAGCCAGTGCGTGCAGAAGACAGGGCTCGGCTTTTCTGGGTAACACCCTCTGTAGCTAATGTTTACTGACCACTTAGAACATGTTCTGAGTACACACTAAACAGCCCTGAGAATCGGGTGCGGAACCAGCCCCCATTTCAGAGATGGAAACTGAGGTAAAGGCTGTGGCCAGGCTGTCACATAGGCAGACAGAACACAGGCAGTCAGAGCCCGAAGCGCCCTCTCTTCCCACCACACCAAGGTGGTGCCAGGCCAAGGCGAGGCTATGTCCGATCCCTGTGGAGGAAAGCAGCCCTGTACCCTTGGCCCTCCTCTCCCCACACCCTCACTGTCTCGGGATGGCAGATCGGGTGTCAAAGGCCAGGCTCCTCGGCCCCAGAGCTCCTGAACTTGTGATGGCCAGGACATCCGCAACCCCCAACCACACACACAGAACTTTCCCAATTAAAAATAAACAGAACAACACAAAACTACAACTCCGGGTGCTCAGAACAGCTCCAAAGGGTGAAGCAGAGCTGGTGAGAAATGGGGGCCCACAATAGAGAAGTGACCTGCAAAGCTAGTTAGCGGCATTATTTGGACCACTGTCTATGCCTCACAGCCCCAGGCCCAGGCTGCCTGAGGAGCAAGAGCTCTGAACTATGGCCTCAGAGGAGACCCAGGGGAGCCGACCCACAGGGGGGGCGAGGCTGGCCGCGTGCTGGGGCCCCTCCCACCTCGGAGTCTGGCTGCTCCCTGCCTGCCCCATCGGGAAGGCTGATTCAGGGGAAGACAGCTCAGCCCCCATGGGGACGCGGGGTGGGGGGCAGGGGGCACGCCCAGCCCACATCTGGAGGCCCGGCCCACCCACCCACCACCTTTTGAGTCAGTGAGCGTGGAAGCAGGTCCATGTTGGGAGAGAGGCTGCATGTGGCACACGGGCCCCTTGGGGTGGTACCGGCAGGGCCCAAGGGCACATGAGGCCTCCTGGGCTGTGGTCCGAGCTTCATCCGAGGCTCGGGGCAAGGCCCGGCCCTGCCATTCTCTCAACAGAGATGAGCGGAGTGGGCTCTGGGACACACAGGGGCCAGCGAAGGCAGGGCCTCCCCCCGGAGCGGAGTACAGCTGACACCCTAGCGAGCAGGGGCGTCCCTGCCTGGCCTCTGAGGGTTGGCCATGGGCGTTAACTGCTAAGGTGGCAGAGGGGACCTCAGAGGTGGGCAGGGCCTAGACAGGCCCAACCTGGGTGACAGGCCTTTTCCTAGTGCTGGTCCCTGACCACAGCCACCTCCCCAGTGACTTGTCCGGTCCATCCTGGGACCACCTGCCCCCTCCTCTGCTTCACATTCCAGGAGCCCACGTCCCTGGGGGAGGGTCAGCCTGACGGATGGCAGTGGGGCGGAACGTAGGCTGGGTGGGGGCCATGTTACCTGCCTTGGCTGACGGCTGCCTGGCGGGGTGGGGGGAGGGGCAGGCTGAGCCCCAGTACAAAAGGCCCTTGTGAGCGGGAGGCGCCTGGAGGGGAGGTCTGCCAGCCTCTTGGGGACTCCAGGGGCCCAAAGCATCGTGATGGCTGCTGTGGTGGCCCCAGGTACCTCTGTGAACTTGAACAAAGGGCTCAATGCTTGTGGTCCCATCCTGTCCTGGGCAACTCCAGCTACAAGCTAGAGCCCAGAATGGCCAGGGGAGCCACCCCGACCTGGGGCAGGACTGGGCCCCACATTAGAAGGGCAAAACCTTCACAGGCGGCAGGCCCAGCTACACCTGGTCGTGGTTAAGGACCTGGGCTTTGGCTTAGATTTCCTGGCAATGGGACAGCCCCAAGTCACTGCACCCTCAGGAGCACCCCTGCCTCCCATCACCAGGGAGCAGTGAGAACACTTTCCACCTGGAGTGGCTGCCAGGGGCAACAGCGAGGTGCCAGACTGCCTAGTGTGCCAGCACGTGGCAAGGGCTGCTGCCTTCTCAGTGCCCAGCCCAGAGCCGTCCGGGGAACAGGAGATAAATGAACCTCTGAGGTTCCAGAGTAGATGGAACTGCCTCTGGGCAACCAATGCCCCAAGGTGAGCCGAGGTCAGTCCAGGGAGGCCGAGACTCTAGATCTATCACCTCACCTCAGAGATGGGGGGACCTGAAGCCCACAGTTCCCGGCCTCTCCCACCTTCAGGGAAACACCTGCCAATGGCTCCAGCCATCCTCTGCCCCCTCTACAGGACCATTCCTGTGACCACATCCTCGGAGGCCCACAGCTCCCATCCTGGGCAGGTCTACGTCTACAAGTGGAAAAACACCAATCCCACGGTTTCCACGTGAAGTCCTCCGCCACAGTCTCTCCTCACTTGGAGGACAGAGAGCAAGGTGGCAGCCGGCTCAGGGCAGCCAGCTTCTCTGCTTACCCAGTTGGCCGACTGCTCACCCTGTCTCTCTCAGATTCTGCAGGGCGGGCCTGCCACCCCAGGACCCACGTTTCCCCTCGGGCGGTGCTTGGAAGGAGGGCACAGAGCCTGACGTTTTGGGGCCGCATTCCCTGAGCCACAGAGAGGCAGGAGGGCTGTTAAGGGGAAGGGAGTTACTCGTGGTCACTGCGTGTTTGGGGGCCTGGGTGCCCCTCTGCATGCATCAGCTCACTGAACCCCGGTGATGGCGCAGGAAGTAGCAACCGATATCATAATGAGGTCATGTGATTGCTCAAAGTCACATAGCAAGGGAGTGACAGGACCTGGGCCAGGGCACTGGGGACCTGACTCATCACTACTGTGTGCTGTTGGACTTGGGGGCGGGGTGGTGAGGGGGGCTGGGAATTCCCTGGCGTGGCAGTCCCGTCCCCGGGACCCTGACTCAGCCTCCTGTCTCATCTCCTCCAAGGGACCAGAAGATGTGCTCCCAGATCCTCCTGCCCCTGGGCCCCTGACTCAGCCTCCTGTCTCATCTCCTCCAAGGGACCAGAAGATGGGCTCCCGGATCCTCCCGTCCCTGCTGCTGCTCCTGGTCCCAGGGCCCAGGGCCCAGGGCTGCCCATCCGGCTGCCAGTGCAACCAGCCGCAGACAGTCTTCTGCACTGCGCGCCACGGGACCATGGTGCCCCGTGATGTGCCGACTGACACAGTGGGGCTGTACATCTTCGAAAACGGCATCACCACGCTTGACACGGGCAGCTTTGCCGGCCTGCCAGGCCTGCAGCTCCTGGACCTATCGCAGAACCAGATTGCCAGCCTGCCCGGTGGAATCTTCCAGCAGCTTGCCAACCTCAGCAACCTGGACCTGACTGCTAACAGGCTGCGTGAGATCACTAACGAGACCTTCCGTGGTCTGCGGCGCCTGGAGCGCCTTTACCTGGGCAAGAACCGCATCCACCACATCCAGGCTGGAGCCTTTGACGCCCTTGACAGCCTCCTGGAGCTCAAGCTGCAGGACAACGAGCTGCGGGCCCTTCCCCCACTGCGCCTGCCGCGCCTGCTGCTGCTCGACCTCAGCCACAATCGCCTCCCGGCCCTGCGGCCCGGCACCCTGGACACTGCCAACATGGAGGCGCTGCGGTTGGCTGGCCTGGGACTGCGGCAGCTGGATGAGGAGCTCTTTGGCCGCCTGCACAACCTGCACGACCTGGATGTGTCCGACAACCAGCTAGAGTGTGTGCCACCCGCCATCCGGGGCCTGCGGGGCCTGACACGCCTTCGGCTGGCTGGGAACACCCGCATCGCCCAGCTGCGGCCTGAGGACCTGGCCGGCCTGGCGGCCCTGCAGGAGCTGGACCTGAGCAACCTGAGTCTGCAGGCCCTGCCGCCCGAGCTCTCAGGCCTCTTCCCCCGCCTGCGGCTCCTGGCGGCTGCCCGCAACCCCTTCAACTGCGTGTGCCCCCTGAGCTGGTTCAGCCCTTGGGTGCGGGAGAGCCGAGTGGCACTGGCCAGCCCCGAGGAGACACGCTGCCACTTCCCACCCAAGAATGCTGGCCGGCTGCTCCTGGATCTTGACTATGCTGAGTTCGGCTGCCCAGCCACTACCACCACAGCCACGGCCCCGACCACGAAGCCCTCGGTGTGGGAGCCCACACTCTCGCCTTCCAGTCCTGCTTCCACCTGGCTCAGCCCCACAGAGCCTACCACTGAAGCCCCCAGTTCTCCACCTGTCACCCTGCCCACCGCAGGGCCTGCCCCCCGGCCCCAAGACTGCCCAGCATCCATCTGCCTCAATGGAGGCACCTGTCACCTGGGGGTGCAGGGCCACCTCGAGTGCCTGTGCCCTGAGGTCTTCACAGGCCTGTACTGTGAGAGCCGGGTAAGGCAAGCGCCAAGGCCTAGCCCTGCCCTGGCCACACTGAGGCCACCTGGGCCCCCACCCCTCAGTGTTGAGCCCCTGAGCCCCACGTCCTTGCGGGTGGGACTGCAGCGCCTCCTCCAGGGCAGCACAGTGCAGCTCAGGGGCCTCCGCCTCACCTACCGCAACCTATCGGGCCCGGACAAGCGGCCAGTAACTCTGCGGCTGCCCACCTCACTCACTGAATACACAGTCACCCAGCTGCAGCCCAATGCCACCTATTCCATCTGTGTCAGGCCCCTTGGGGCCGGGCGGGTGCTCGAGGGTGAGGAGGCCTGTGGGGAGGCCCGCACGCCCCCCGCCATCCGTTCCAACCATGCCCCAGTCACCCAGGCCCGGGAGGGCAACCTGCCACTCCTCATTGCCCCTGCCCTGGCCACTGTTCTCCTGGCTGCACTGGCCGCAGTGGGGGTGGCCTACTGTGTGCGGCGGGGGCGGGCTGCGGTGGCTATGGCTCAGGGCAAAGGGCAGGTGGGGCCAGGGGCCGGACCCCTGGAGCTAGAGGGGGTGAAGACCCCCTTGGAGCCAGGCCCCAAGGCAACTGAAGGTGGGGAGGACCGACCCAGCGGGCCTGAGTGTGAGGTGCCACTCATGGGCTACCCAGGGCCTGGCCCCCAGGGGCCCCTCCCCAGTAAACCCTACATCTAAGCCTGGGAGTGATGGGCCATAGGGGGTCAGGTGCTGAGACCCGCTGGGACCAGTGCCCTACTGCTGACAGTCCAAGGAAGTTCTCAGATTCACACGAGGACACATGAGAGTAGGGGCTGTGTGGCTGCATCAAGTCCCTGTCCCTCTCTGGACCTTGGTCTCATCTGTAAGATGCTGGGTCCCACACGATGACCTCTAAGGAACCCCCAGACTGTGTACCTACGAGGATGGTGTCTGCCCATCCTCTGCAATGTGCAACCCTAGGGAGGGCAGGGCGGGCCCTCCTGTGTGCTGGTAACACAGGCCCCCATCCTGAGGAGACCCCGGGGGCCGTGAAGGAAGCCAAAGGGCACGGGGAGGGAGGGCCGGGGGCCGGGCCGTGTGGTTCCAGCCTTGGCCCCCAGGAGCAAAGGAACAAAAGAAACTGGAAGGAAAGGCGGTTTAGGACCAGGTTTTGCTTTTGTTTTTTAAGACTATATTTATGAAACCCTTTCCCATTTATTCTGGGAAAGCGTTTTTCAAACTCGAGAGAAGGACTTTGGTTTTTGTAAGACAAACGATGACATGAAGGTCTTTTGTAAGAAAATAAAAGATGAAATGAATTTCTCTGGCACAGCTCCAGGGCGTCTGGACTGGGTGGGAGTGGGGTGGGTGTAAGGGGACAGCCCTCCTGTGGGGAGGCTGGGGGCCAGGACCCCTTTCCCAGTGGGCACCAGGCCTCGGTCAGCAACCCCTGAGCCCGGAAAGGCCATACAGAGAAGTCCGCCCTGGGATGTATCCATCCAGCCTTGATCGAGGTGCCTGGTCCAGCCTCCCAAGGCTACTCGGGTCCAGGCAGGAGTGTGGACAGGGACTGGGCTACTGGAGAAGAGGCGGCACAGCTGGAGCGGCCTTGCCCCCCTAAGCCCAGTGGTCCGCCAGCAGGAACACTCCCTTGAGAGGCTGGAAGGGGCTCATGGTAGTCTCGGGCCAAGAGGGTCCCTACTCAGGGATGGGTCTGATGGGCAGCTTGCCGCCTGCCTTTCTCTGTGAAGAGGGTGCCTGGAGCCATGTCCTGGACTAGGGGGCATGCACACCCAGGACCCCCTGCAGCCACTGCCCCTCTGCATGGGCTCAGGCTGGGAGACCTTGCTCCTGGCCTCCTGCGCCAGCTGCAGAGAAGGGGGCCATAGGTCCTGAATGGCAGTCCTCTGGTGGCTGGGCAGGGAGGGCCAAGTCAGGGTTGTTGGGTACAGCCCAAATGTGTGAGTCCGCCTGTGCAGGCCTGGTGGCCCTGATGTCCCTTATGTCCCTTTCCTCTCTGCACCTGGGATATGGCCAGGCTTTCCTGGCAGTGGGAGTGTTTTCCAGAAGTTGCAGGCCAAGGTGAGGGCAGGGCTAGGGGTGCCAATCACAGCTCTGGGCTGGACCAGGGTGCTAAGAGCCTGGGGACAATGACAATACACAGCACTGTTTTCTATGACCCTGAGATGAGAAGGGAAGTGGACCCTGGGGCTGCAGAGAAGCCTCCAAATGCTGGAAGGGGTTTCCCTGAGGCCCTGGGGTCATGACCCACCTGCAAATGCTGGAAGGGGTCTCCCTGAGGCCCTGTGCCCATGTCCCTCTATGGGTCATGACCCCAGCCTCACCCTGGCAGGAAGGAGGCAGCCCAACCAGGCCTGGGGAGTGGGCCCCGAGGCTGAGGGCGTTTATGTCAGCGCCAAGTCAGGCCTGGCCACACAAGGCTCTGGATTCAATTAGCGGCTGGTGAGGGTTCTGGCCCCGAGAAGGGAAGAGGCGGGTGATGGGTCATAGCGGGCAGAGGGTGGTGGCAGTGTGCCTGGGTGGGGCCCATTCCTCCTGAGGCAGAAGTGACGGTAGCAGCCCAGGTGAATTTCCTGTGGGCCTGGGTCCCATTAGAGGCACAGTTATGGCAAAGCCTGCCCTCCCTGCCTCAGCAGTCCATCAAAGGGGCCGTTGTGGGACTGTGGGCTGCTGCCGAACCTGGTGGCTGCTGAATAAATGTTTTTGCGTTCAAGTCAAACCTGGCCTAGTGGGACAGGGAAGGCAGAATGGGGAAGGAGGGACCTAAAGAAAGGGGGCTGGACACTCATGCCAGCCCTCCCAGAAAGGTATTTGGGGTGTCCCGTCTGACAGGCAGGGGGATAACGGGAGGGCCAGAGACCAGGTGAATGGGCTACCAAGCCAAGGTGCAGCCCCTGACCAGGACCATCCCAGCAGCTCTGGGCCAGAGACCACGGTCCCAAGTGGGCAAATGCCAGCCCAGATCGACAGGCTCTATGCCTCACGAGACCATCACATGCCCTGCAGCCCTCTACAGAAGAGACGGCCAGGGTGATGCGTGGCTTGCTCACTCACGGTGGGCAGGCAGGGATAGGATCCCAACACCTGCTCCCTGGGTGGGAAGGGTTGCCAGCAGGGCGGGAGAGGCCCGGGCTTCCAGGAGAGGGGTGGGGCCGAGTGAGCTGGAGGAGCTATCCTGGTGCGAAGAGGCAGACACTCCCCGCCTCCACCAGGCACACTGGTCTGGCTGCTGGGGTGACCTCAACAGACAACCAACTTCTCCAGCCTCAACTGCCCCTCTAGTAATGTGCGGATAAGTAGCCCCATCTGCCTGTGGCCCAGGGCCAGTACTGCTGACCGATCGCCCACCCAGAAGCTCCATACCTAAGACAGGTGGTGTTTCAGTGTCTCCCAGAATGAAGTCTGAGCTGCTCCTTCAGTGCCACGCCCTGCCTACCCCTCTCATTAGGACGCCACCCTGCACCAAGTATGGGGCCAGGCACACAGTAAGCGCGGGGTAGCCATCTGTGGGCCCGAGGTCTGAGCCCGGCTTCACAGACAGGCCCCCCGTGCCCTGCCTTTCCTACCAGGGCACGTCTCAGTGCACGCCACAAGTGACGGGGCTGACCAGGGAGGAGAGCGCGGGTGGGAGCTGCGACCGGCCCTGTGAGAGGACAGGGAGGGGCATGTGCCTGACCCTTGGCCCCTGCTAGCTCTCAGAAGAGCACACACTGCTCTGCCCAAATTGTGACGGAAAATTGTAACAGAAAAGAAACCAAGGGGTGCAGCGGAGACCCACAGCATGCCCAGCTGATACCCTGCACACTTGCCATCTTTAGTCCAGTCCACTCAGCAGCCCCCAACACCCCAGGGGGCTAATGGGAGACCCTGGCTTCCAGGGAGCCTGAGGGGCAGGAGACCCACCACCTCTCAGGCCAGCCTATAGGGTGGCATGCATCCCTGGCATTTACAGAAGGCTGGAGAGTCCCCACTCCTCTGCCAAGGGTGCAGCCTGGCAGGGCAGGGGCCAGGTCTAGGGGACAGAAGGGGCGGGACATTGGTCCTGCCCTCCATCTGGGAGTGATTTGAGAAATTCCAGGCCACTCTGGCCCTGTGAGGCCATTCTTAACGGCTGTAATTACGGGGTCAGCCTTGGCCAGTGGCACCACGGGGTCTGGGCATCACTAATTCCTCGAGGGGCCACGATGGGCTAGGCAGGGCTGCTCCATGGGGGAGGGGTACCCGGAGTAGGCCAGGGGCAGAGCCTGGGAGGCAGGAAGTGGCGGGCCGAGGAGCACGATTGCTAGGCGGGCTGGCTCCCTCCCTTTGCTGGGGGCCCTGTAGGGAAGGGCTTTCTGGCCAGAGAGGAGTGGAGGGCAGGATGCGGTACCAGCTCAGCATCAGAGTAGCGGATACTGGACCTGGAGCCGGAGGTCCCGGAGCTCTGGTTCCTCTGGTGCAGGGGGGTCCTAGTGACGTCCCGAACCCCCAAGCCCAGAGAAGGCAGGCGCCTCACACCCACTGTCGTTCTAAGCACTGGGTCTCACTCAGCCTTGCCTTCCCCACTGGCAAAATGTGCCTGGCCAGTTCCCCAGCCTGCCCAGACCGTGAGAGAGGACAGAGGGCGGGTCACTGCCACCCTGAGCCTCACTCCTCCGGGGGCCCCCGCAGGGGACGCCCTGCCGGCTCTTATGGCACTCAGCCTTCCCAGTCCCCAGGCACAGTCACTGCTGCTTCGGGGGCTTGGGCAGGTTACTGTCCCTCTGTGACTCAGCTTCCCCAGTTGTGAAACAGGAGAGGAAGAGGCTAGATGGACGGTCAAGAACCAAGGCCCTGTCCTGGCGCTGACCCTCACAGATCCCTGTGGCAGGGGAGGGGTCATGCCGTGCAGGTCTCTGCCTCCTCCTCACCCCCGGCCAGGCTGGTCATCCGCCCTCCTGGGCCTCATTTCCTCACCTGTGACGTGGGGGGTTGTTACTGTGGGCCTCCTGACATCTGAGCCTCAGTGAGCCTGGGCTGCCCTACACAGAGCTGGCTTGGCCCAGACCCCCAGGCACCACCACAAACTTTCCTGCACATACTTCTGGGGAAGAGGGAAGGACGAGGTGTATCTGCATGCCCAGGACAACCAGAACTGGCATATGGCAGGGGCTGAGGGGGCCCACAAGTCCAAGGCCCTCCCTCTCTCTGCATTTTTGCTTCCAAACCTGCCAGCCTGTCTGTCCCCAGGTCACCCCATGTCCACCTCATTATGATAGCCTTGGTCTCCTTAGGTCCTACAGGCCCACCAAAACACCCACAAAATCAAGTGCATGCGTAAGCTTCCCATCTACGTGTCTGCTGGCTCATAGTCCCCTCCCCAAATGCTAAAACACAACAGTATGAGACCCTAGGCTAGAACCCTGCCCCATGACTGCATAGGGCCGCACAGGATGGAGCCAGTGGGTTTTCTGCACACAGGAGTGCCTTACCAGCTTCTGCGGGTGGCAGTGCAGGCAGGCCCTGCAGGCAGGGCCAGGAGCTGGCTTCTTTTGTAAGACCTCACAGCCCAGCTCAGGATCGGAGCCGAGGCAGGCCGATCTGGCTGGACAGGCCCTTCCGCTCTGCAGGCAGCTCCGCCACAGCTCGACGGGGGCCCTCACCAGTGTGCCCATCCACAGATCTGGACTCAAGACACCACCTGGCCCTCAACCCCCAACCCACCCCAACCTGCCAGCCATTCCTACCCGGGCGAGGTGTCCAGGGTGACCGAAGTGAGGGCGCTGGAGAAATGCCGGGTGTCCCAGAGCTTCACTTCACACTCACGCATCTGTGGGAAGCGGGGCGCTCAGAGGGGCTCATCCCTCAGTCCCAAGGACTCTCCAGGAACAAAGTGCCTGAGGACACAGCCTGGCACAGGGACACTTGCCCCAGGGCAGCACTTGGAGGGCAGTGGGGGGAGGGGGGGAGACATGCCAGGGAGGGAGAGTTTGGATGTTTATGTCCTGCCCCTTTAAGAGCCCTTAGGTGACAGTGGACAAGGGGCGGTTCCCTCCGTGGACTCTGGTCCCTGGGAGACCGCCACAGTTCCCAAGGTCAGGCTTAGCTACTGCAAATGGAATCTGCCAGTTTTCAGCAGCCATCAGTCCCCTGGGGCTAAGACCCAGCGGCACACAAGGCCGTATATGGCCAGGCCTGGAGCTGGCTGGTGGCCCCCACCTCCCAGTGGGCCTCGTCCCCACCCTCTTGGTATGGGTGCCCTGCTCTGTCAGGAGCCCACCTGGTTGAATCCAGTAGACACGAGGTGCTCCTGGGTGCCTGTCCACACCAGCCGGCCATCCCTGCTGTTCTCATGGGCCCGTGTGCTCTGCAGGAAGCAAGAGATGGTGCTGAGCCCCTGGGCCTCCTGGGTGGGCTACCAGCCTGAGAGCCCCATGGCAGGCAGGAGGGGCCAGGTCGGTGCCCCAGAAGTGAGCTGGGGACAGGGTGCGGGGGATTCATAGCATTACAGGATGAGGGCACTCCTTGGTGAGACCAGCTTGCACCAAGAGGGCCCATCCTGCTGCCAAGAATGGACTCAGTCTCCCCTGGGACCACTGGGCTGCTCTGCTCACCACCAGACCCCTTGCCCCAGTGACTCGGGACTCAAGGCGACAGCATGTCCTGGCCCCTGCAGGTGGCTGGGAGGAGGCACTAAGTTGTCAGTCACCACCACCAAGTTCTGGGGACCTCACGCCCCCATAGAGCTTCAGCTTTCTTGCTTGTGATCTGACTCAAGTTGCTGGGGCCGCCTGCCCCCCAGGGCTGTTTCAAGTATCAGCAAACTACATGTGAGAGGAACTGCTCAGTGCAAAGCGCCATGCAAATCAAGGGCTAGAGTGTTTCTGCAGCTGCCTGATGCTGCGGGGACAGCCTGGTGCAAGCTCTGGGGGGCACCTTCAGTAGGGCAGGAAAGTGCCCCTCGTAGCCCTCCGTCGGTGCTAGAGCTGTGGGTAGGAAGACTTCCTGGTCCCTGGGAGGAGAGGCAGGTTCACACCACAGGCCCAAGCAGCAGGGGTGCTTGGGGCTGGAGGAAATGCAAACAGCTCCCTCCCAGTCACCCCGGCCCCTGGAGCCTGGGACCAAAGACCCTGTTACCAAAAATAGCTCACCCCAAACTGTGGCCAGCTTCCTTCAAGCTTCCCACGGTCTCCTTGGGAATGAATGAGGGAGGGAAGCGGCCTGTGAGGAGCTGGCCCAGCGCCCCCTCCCCAGCCTGCAGAGGCCGACCCCAGCGTGGGAGACCGTTGGAACGGCTCCGTGTCCTTCAAGGGGCTTTTCTCACTGCTCCCTTTCCACCCGCTGCAGCAGGCACAGGAAGTTGGGGCTGGAGCCTGAGAACCAGGGTCCCAAACCCTCCCTGCAAGAGGGGCTATGGGGTCAGGGTAAAGGTCAGCTCCGCCCCCAACACCCGATAGTGGATCAGAAGTGTCACGTGGGTTCTCTAATCCTCTCATCAGTGTGCAAATAGCAAACCAGGCGGCTCACAAAGCTTAGTGTACCATTCATCCATTCAGCCGACACCCAAGGCCTCCTGAGGGCCAGCCATGGTGCCAACAGCTGGCGGGGGTGCTGGATGATTCACGGATGGATGGTCACACACTTGAGTGACTGACACAGGGCTGCTTATTCATAACATAAGTATTTAAGCTGCATGCTACACTCAGTCGTGTGCATGGTGGACAGAACATAAAGGGTCCCCCAATTTAGATTATACAAGTCAGGAGGCAGATGTGAGCCGAGGAGAAATAACTATGTTGTCATATGTTATTTTAAGGGCCATGAAAGAACAGAGTGGAGGCTAAATGTATGAGATTTGGAGTCAGAGTGCCTGGGTGAAAACCCTTCCCTGCCTCTAACTACCTTGTCTCAGGATGAGATACTCAATGCCTCTGTGCCTCAGTTTCCCTATCTGTAAAACGCACCACAACGGGACCTACTTTGGAAGGCTGTTGCAAGAATGCTAACACCGGCGAAGCGCTAAGGGTTGTGTCCGGCACATGTCCAGCACGCACTTTTTTTTTATCTACCACATTTGATCATTGACTAAGCTCTTTTGAATGCAGCTTTATTGATAGTGATTCAGTTACAAACACTACATACATTTTAGTTTGTTGCTCCATAAATAGTACCAGAATGATTTAATCAAAAATTTTCCCCGAAATTTGCTGAATAAATAGAAGGTTATTAGGAGTATCCAAGACAAACATTTTATTTCAAATTCCCTGAGAAGGAAATTTAAATGGGCTTTACCTTCTGAATGTGCTGGTGGCTAAATCTTTAACATTTTAGAATCTTCCATTCTCATAACTATTGAGGAGTGTTTAGGAAACTATGCTCTAGTTTTTATTGGTATGAAAAGAAATACTGAAAAATAATTATTTTCAGTACTGCCTTGTGCTGGAGAACATATTCATCAGTGGCTGGGGAATCTAGCTTATTCCGAGAAGACTGATTCAGAAAAGAATGCAGAAAAATCATTAAGTGAAGATTATGTAAATTCATTTCTTGGTAACTCAGGGAAAATTAACGAAATGAAGTGATTTTAGTTCCTTTTATCCAGTAACCTGAAGATCTTTGGCCAGGATAACCAGGAAAAAATTGGCCTTTCAACACATATATTTCCAGGTAAACCTTTAGTTACATGCATGTTTGTAAAATACACTTACTGTAATTGCTGCTCTGCCTTCAGTCATAGAACCATTCAGCACATTCTCACTTCCTTATTACTGCAATTACACATCTTCACTCATATCACTCACTACCATCTGATCATTGCTTAGAAATATACCAGCATACGTTTTTTAAACACGGTAACAGGGAACAAGTGTATAAATGAGGGAAGTAGATTTAAGGCAACGTTTGAGTTGAGATGTGATGATTCCGCAGGCATGAGCCAGAGGGGGTTGGGGGAGGGGACCAGCCTCTTTGAGGAGCTCTGGCCTGCGATACAAGGAGAGCAGGCGGCGCTGAGCTTGTGGGGCCTGTGGGCAGCAATGGAGCACTTTCATTCAGAGGCACAGGTTGGGGAAAGGACGTTCTTTGCATGTCTCCCTCCTTCCTGTTACATACAGGAAGAAACCAGAAGCCCAGAGAGGGGAAGCCATCTGCCTCAAGTCACCCAGCAAGACAGCTGTCAGCTGCCTGAGCCACGGGCTGGGCCTGCACAAGGGGGGCCAGAGGCAAGGACAGGTGAGGAGACAGAGCCACGGCTGGCAGGCAGCAGAGCCCAGACCAGGAAGAGCCCAGGATCTGGCTGCCTCCCAGGCACCTGGATTTCCAGCAAACACCCCTGGATGAGTTCCCACTGGGCAGTCAGGCAGGGCAGGGTGGGCTGGCACACCCAGCTCCATCTGCCCAGGGGCCAGAGGAAGCCCCATGGGCAGGGGTGAGGTAGACACTGGCCTCCTCCCCACCCTCTATCCCCAGATCACCAGAGTGATTTTTTTTTTCAAAAGCGGCAAGTTCTTTGCTGACCTTACGGGGACTCAAGGAGGAAGAGCCCTCTATCCAAGTCCCAGATACTAATTCTTCTGGGGCAGGGGGGCGGGGCTACAGCTGGGACCCAGGCATCCTGCTATCCCGAAGCCCAGACAGCCACAGGCGTCTCTGGGGGCCACTGCTGGTAACGCGAGCCGGGGCCAGATCTTGGGCTTTCCCTCTCACAGAGGACGGCCTTTGTCTCAACAGGCAGCAGGGCGCTGTGCTCCTGGAGAAGCACCTCAGTCCCCGAAGTCTCCCCCAACACCTGGCCCCAAGATAAGAAGAGGAGGGGCTGAGGCCAGCAGTGCCTGCCCAGCACAGTAGGCGCATGCCCGCATTCCAGCTGCGGTGCAGCCCAAACCCCGTCACCACAGCAACACTTCCTGTGTGGGGCAGGGCAGCCGGAGGAACAGCCCTAGGCTCCTCCCTTGGGCAAGGGCACCTGCTCTGGTGATAAGACCCCTACCATCCACCAGTGCCCCTCTTTGGGCAGGCTCAGTCCTAGCTCCAGATGCTGGCCCCCCAGACCTGCCCAACACCCAGGGGTGGTAGGAAGGCACAGGTCTGCCTGCTCATCGTAGAGATCAGGAGCCCATCCCAGGTCCAGCCCCCTCCTGCCTCTGACAAGGTGTGGAAGACTCACTGACCCCTGAACAGGCTCTCTGCAGGCACACCCGTGGCTCCGGGGCCCTGGCCAGCCTCATCTGGGCTTCAAGCACGGTGAGGGGGCAGCAAGGGGCCAGGGGCTCCAGAGTTGGCCAGACCCAGCCTGCCTCTGCCTCTCACCTGTGTGACCCTGGGGCAGAAAGGACCAAAGGTCTGACTTTAGAGGATGGATGGTCATGAAGGTGGAAGGAGGTCACATGTGCCGAAGGCCTGGACTATAAAAGGTTATAAATGCGATTTAAGAACAAAGCACAGGGTGTGAAAAGGAGGGAGATGCCTATGTCCCCTGCTCCTAGCTCAGGTCACCAGAGGCAAGACCCAGAAAAGACAGTGGAGGGAGGACTCCCCAGGCCCCGGCCCAGCCTATAGGCTGGGGGACAGCACCGCAGCAGGGAGGCCAGAGGCCAGATGGGGGGCAGCACACCCTTCCCTGGCCCCCAACATCGGCCCCTCGTGGGGGAAGGATCTCAGGAGAGGCACTCCCAGGCCTCTCCCCTGAGCTGGCCCCTCGGCTTACACCGACCCTGGCCGCCAGCAGTGGTTTTCCTAATAGAAGCCAGGTGTGGGCCAGATGCCCTGGGCGGAAGTGGGGGGCAGGGCCACAGGGAGGGCAGCATTCCAGGCCGGCTGCCCCCGCACCAGCAGTGCAGCACAGGCACCGTCCCAGCAGCTGGGAGGGGGGCGGGAGCCACCCACGCTCTTCCCAGGTCTTCTCGCCCAGAAGCCCCCTTCAGCGGGGCTCCTTCCAGAACCAGATCCTCCCCTCCTCCTAGGAACTTGGAGCCCCTTGGACAGCAGCCACTTCATCTTCACCTCAGCTCCATCACCATCCCCCGCGTGCGGGAAGGGGGGACATTCAGGCCGGGGGACATGACAGGAATGGGGGTGCCACGTGCTGTGCCCTGGGGTTAGAGGGCCTCGGTCCCCCTCCTTCCAGCTGAGCCTGGGTGCCCTCTCCAGGCAAGGCTTGGAGGGTAGCCATAGAAAGCTACGGTGAGCCCAGCGCTCACAGCCACACAGCCCTGAGACCAGCCGCGGGGACCACGGGCAAGAGCCGACCTCAGTGGGAAGCAGGGCCACGGGAAGCTGAGACCACCTCTGCCCAGCGTGGCTCACCGTCGGGACGGGGCCTCCTTTTGGTCTTCAGCGAGTGGCACCAGCCAGACTGCCTTTGGAACAAGGTGCAACTGGCTGCGCGAAAGGGGTCCTGTGTGTGTGCGTGTGTGTCTGTTCACGGGGAATGGGGCCCCAGGCTACATGAAGAGGATCATGTGTCTGTGCGTGCAGGGGAAACAGGAGCCCCCAGTTGGGTTGGGGATTACCCTTGACCCCTGGCAGGGAACAAGCCCTAGAAATGGGGATGGGCATCACTGGGGAGCTCCTCCCCTGTGCTGGCAGCAGGACCCTGAGCCTCACCTTCCTCATGGACGAAGGCTCCTCCGCTTCTAGAAAAATCTTTTAAAAATACAAATTCACTCACCTCACTTTCTGCTTAAAACTCTCGGAACACCTAATCTCTCTCTGACACGCCACAGGCCCTCACCGAGGGCCCTGCTCGCATCCGCACCCCTCGCTGAGTCCCGGCACCAGCTTGCCCAGGCTGTCTGCAATCCTTAGCCCTCAACACCAAGCCAGCTCCTCGGCCAAGCACTAGGTCTCCCCTTCAAGAGAAGCCCCCCAGCAATTATCCCATGTGTCTTGTCTTGTTCACAGAACATTCCATGCCTGGCACCGAGCTGCTGCTGAATGAATGACTGATTCCCCAGTAGCTCAACACCTGTAGCATGAACCTAAGGCCTGGCCTCTCTGCCCAGAACTCACAAGACCCAGCGCATCACCACAAACACAACACACACACTGATGCCTGGGACTCGTGGGCCTGGCAAACCCCCAGCAGCAACCACGGGGACGCAGTGAGGGTCTGCAGGCTCTCACACTGCAGGCTGCAGACAGTGGGGGCTGTCTTTTTGTCTCCTCTGTGGCTGGCCTCTGCTGACAGTGCCAGGAAGGGTGGGTAAGGGATGAGGGTCTCAGAAAAGAAGAGGAAGTCAGGATCTCAAATTAGCTTCCTGAAGCCACAGGACGCCTCCACTGAAGGCCTGTGGGCAGCCTGGCTGCACCCCACCCTGTGATCAAAGCCAGGCCCTCCCAGGACCAGAACATGCTTTCCAGAAATAGCCTCCAGCAGTGGGAGCCCACCTCCCAGGTGACCCTTACACACCCACCAGGCCTTGGCCAGGCTTTGGGGTGTGGCAGAGTCCATCTGCCAAGACACTGAGCCTGCCCCCGCCTGCACCTGATGGAGCCATGGGGGCCTCAACCCAGCCCGCTGCCTGCACAATTCACCTGGGAGGCCTCGGGCTTTGCTCTGGGGTCGAAGATCCGCAGCTGCTTGTCCTAGAAAAGTAGAGGAGGAAATAGTATCATTAGGCTGGGTAGGGTCCCTAGGGGCCAGGCAGTCTCCCCAGTTCCTGGCTATCACAGCCCCATGCCCCAGTATACAGAGCTGGCATCTCACTCCAGGGGACCCCCTCCAGCCTGGCTCCTCCTTCTCACCACAAGGGGCAGGCCCCCTTTTCTGTCCCAGTCACAGAACACAGAATTCAGTGACAGTTCACATTTCCTGAGCACCTACTACGTGTCAGGTACATCACACACAAGATCCCTCCCCATCTTTCCAACCACCTTATGAAGCAGTGCTGTGACCATAAAGATCCCTCCACAGACGAGAAGCTGAGGCCCAGAATGAAATTCCAGGCTACCAGCTGCTACGCATGTGTCCGGCCCTGTACTTGGTCCAGCCCACAGGGGCTCACAAAACGTTGTAGTTTCTACACTTAAAGAACTTGGCATCTAACCACAGTGGTGAGATTACATGTCCTAACCCTCACCCAGCACACAGCCACTGATTCAAATTACTTGAGGGTGGGATGGAAACAAAAAATTAATGAATGCCCATAGCTTGTATAAGGACTTTAATTCTCTGGAAATTGTATGTGTGAACAAATGTACGTGCTTAAAGAATGGGGGAAAGGCGGGATAGGAGCTGCATCCATTGACTATTTACAGGCTTGACTACGATAAACTGTTTACATGCTAGAAGGAAGATACGGAGTGACATGGTTGGATTCTACTGTGATAAAAACAAACACAAATCAGTAGGCTTTGCAAGAATTCAGAGCAAGGAGAAAGGCCTTGACCAGCACGGGGTCGTGTGTCACTGCAGGGCACCAGGGGAGGGGAAGGGAGGGAGGGATTAGCTCTTTCTTTTTACATCATAGCACAGCTCTACTCTTTCACTCAGCATGGATTCCTATTTTTGTACTTTGGAAAGTAGGGAACCAGCAGTGAACAACTGGATTTGAAACTAAAAACACAATACCATTTATATCAGCACCAAAAAAAAAGAAAGAAAGAAAGTGAAAATACCTGGCTGCAAACCCAACAAATAATGTACAAAATCTCTCCAAGGAAAACTACAGAACTCTGGTGAAAGAAATCAAAGAGCTAAATAAATGGAGAGAGATTGCATGGCCATGGACAGGAATCAATATTGCCAAAATGGTAGTTCTTCAAAAATGCCAGCCATTTATTTTATGGGTATTGACAAGCCAATGCTGAAGTTATGTGGGCAAAGACTCAGGATGGTCAGCACAGCATGAGATGGGATAAACAAGTCAGAGGACTGACACTACCCAACTTTAAAGCTACAGGAACCAACACAGTGTGGCATCGGCATAAGAATGGAACAGACAAGAGAGAAAAAGAGACAAGAAATAATAACCATACGGATCAAAGACCAAAGGAACAGAACAGAGATCCCAGAATTAGACTTCCATAAATAGAGTCAACTGACCTTTGACACAGGAGCAAGGTCAACATATTGGAGAAAAGATGGTCTTTTCAACAAGTGGTGCTGGGATACCTGCACATCCACAGGCCAAAAAAGGAATCCAGACACAGATTTGAGGTCTTTCACAAAAGTCAACTAAAAATGGATCACAGACCTAAATGTGAAATGCACACTGATAAAACCTCTAGAAGACAACACAGAAGAAAAACTAGGTGACTTTGGGTTTGGCAATGACTTTCTCGATACATCGAAAGTATCGAATGATAGAAAAAACTGGTAGGCTGAACTTCATTAAAATCATAAACTTCTGATGCAAATCAAAACCACAGTGAGATAACATTCATATCAATCAGAATGGCTATTTAGCAAAAAGACAAGAAATAACAAGTGTCGGTGAGGATGTGGAGAAATAGGAACCCTCACGCACGGTTGGTGGGAGTGTAAATGGGTGCAGCCACTACGGAGAACAACTCTAAAAATAGAACGACAGTATGATCCGGTCATTCCACTTCCGGGTATTTATCTGGAGAACGGGCGAACTCTGATCTGAAAGCTATACGCACCTCTATGGTTACTGTTGCCCTATTTACAACATCCGAGTTATGGAGGCAACCTGTGTCCGCTGGTGGATGAATGGATAAAACAAGATTGGGTGTATATAAATATGTGATAGGCTTGGCCAAAAAAAAAAGAATGAAATCTTGACATGTGCGACGACTTGGATACACCTGGAGGATATTATGCGGAGTGAAGTCAGAGACAAATACTATCTGACTTCACTTACATGTGAAATCTAAAAAAACAAATTAATGAAACAAAACAAATCAGATTCACAGATACAGAGAACAATCTGGTTGTTGCCAGAGGGGAGGGAGGCGCAGGAATGGGCAAAATAGGGGAAGGGGATTAAAAGGTACACTTCAGTCATAAAGTAAGACACAGGGCTGCAATGCCCAGCATAGGGAATATAGTTAATAACATGGTAACGACTTTGTGTGGTGAAAGATGGCAGCTAGACTTATAGTGACATTTTGTAACATATGCCGTCCACCTGGAACTAATATTATACATCAACTGTACTTCAATAAAACAATTTAAAAAATACTAGAAAAGTTATACATTTCTGGCCTGCAAGAAACCAGCTAAAGACTGGTAAAAAATATTTGCAGAGAACATAACTAAGAAAGGACTTGTACCTAAAACATACAAAGAACATTTAAAACTCAGAAAATATAAAGCAAAATAACCTAATTTAAAAATGGGCAAAACACCTAAACAGACACCTCACCAAAAAAGACACACAGATGGAAGATAAACATATTAAAAGATGCTTAACAACATATTTCATTAGGGAATCGTAAATGGAAACAGCAAGGAGAGACTGCCACACATCAGTTAGAAAGGCTTAAACCTGAAAAACTGTCAACACCAAATCTAACAAGGATGTGGAGCATCAGGGACTCAGATTCGTTGCTGATGGGAACACAGAAAGTACAGCCACTATGGCAGACAGCTTGCAGTTTCTTAGAAAAGCTAAAAACACTATGATCCAACAACTGTGCTCCTAAATATTTACCTGAATGAGTTACGTCCACGAAAATGTTTACAGCAGTTTTATCATAGCCGGAAAAAACTGGAAGCAATCAACATGTCTTTCAACAGCGAATGGATAAACAGTGGTACATTCATACAATGGAATATAATTCACTGATAAAAAGAAATGGCTTGTGGGTAAAACTGTAACATTTCCAGAATACCTCGCCTGGCTTTAGCCCATTTGCATATCCTCAGAGGTGGAGAGCTCGTCTCCGTATCAATGGGTAATTACCCGGGCAACCAGGGAGGGCGTGTCTGAACCTGAGATTTTAAGGGGAAGGGCTGGCCTGCTTGCTTGCCTCCTTCCGGAGCAGAGGAGAGAGACAGCCCTGGACTACAGTTTGTAAGCAATAAACGGGTTTTAAACTTTATTTCTCCCTTTGACTGATTTTGGTTTTTAGAGGTATTTCCTCTCCCCAGAATTACATCTGGCACCAGTGGGCAGGATGCTCCGAACCCGAAATCTGGCATAATGGGTGTGACCTTTGGGAGGGCTGCTCCTGTGGATGGTGGGGAGGTCCCAGTGGATGCAGCGGTGCCGCTTGACCTGTTTTTATCCCCCCAGCTGTGGGACTTCCAAGTTGGGAACCCCTAGTGGGGAATTGGTCAAGGGTAAAGTACCTCTTAAAGGGGTGGGGCTTTCCACAGAACTGGGGAAGGGTGGAAACACCGGAAGCTGCAGAATCAGCCCTCCGTGGGTTGGAAGACTGCTTGGAGACCTTCGGGGGCTGTGTAGTGGCTGCCATCGTAGGGTCCCTTTTCATCAAGATAGTGGAAAATGTTATACAGGAGAAAGAGGGGATTATCGAGGGACTTATGCACGAGAGACTCACTTCAGCATCGCTTGGAGGGGCTGGGCGATAACCTATGGGATGCTGTTAGAGAAGTTAGACAGTTACTAAAAAGGCAGGTCACACTCCTCTAAGATTCCTTAGCAGCGGGGATGGGGGGAGAGGGCAGGAAAAGCCGTGTCGCAGGAGGCTGTGGGTGAGTGGGAGGAAAGAGTAGAGCCTTCAGCCCCGGAAATGGTGGAGGAGGAGCCGGAGGGAGAAGAGGAGACGGCGGGGCTGTTGGCAGATCTGCTACCCAGGCCACTGCCAGAGGTACCATCTTCTCCTGTTTTAAAGGCCTGCCTGGCTGTAATTAAGAAAATAAAAACGAAACAACCGTGGGCTCCTCAAGGGGAGGGGTAGCCCCCTCCCCAGGTTGTGGAGCCCTCCATGCTCCGCCCCTATACCCAGGATGAGCTGGTGGACGTGAGCGTCCAGTACAGGCAGAGGCCATCAGAATCTCTGCCTACATAGCTTTTACGTCTCTGGGATATGGGGATGAAAGACATTGTTGTGTCGGATGGTGAGATGAGTGGAATAGCTTCCCTGACGACTCATCCTTCCCACCAGCAGCAGTTGCAAAATGCCCATCATGCCTCAGGGAATCAGACACACCTGGAATGGCTGACAGCTGCCATCAGGGTAGTTTGGCCTAATCGGGGTGATTCACCGTATTTTCCCAGTAGTTGGAAAACGTACGCAGTATTTGGAAAAGGTACTGCAGGCACTGGGCATGAAACGTATCATCTATAATATGGACGCCAGGACCCCGATGAGAAAGTGTTCACTGTAGGAATGAGAAACCTGGTGCTGCACGCAGCTCCCACATCTCTCCTTGGGTCCCTAGTGACTACTCTTGCCCCCACATAGGGCAAACCTGTAAGTGAGGCTACGTGTACTTCAGCAGATCCGGGGGAGGTGGAAACAATAAGGGCATGGAAGTAAGTACAGGCTACGAATGAAAATAGAGGTGCAAAAGGCCCTGTGAAGGACTCGAGGACCCAGATGTGGGTTGATTTGATAAAGGCTGGGATAGTGAAAGAAAAACTTGATGGACAGTCCAATAGAATCTTGCTAGAACTGTGGCACCAATTAAAGCCAGAGCAGCAGTTCCAGCC